TAATAAATAAATAAATATACATATATATATTTAAATGAAAATATATATAATATGATATACGTATAATAGTATCGAAAGTGCACGTTAGTAGGATCATATATCTATAAGAAACGCTTGGGAATATTTTTTCAATGCCAATTAACTAACTATTCCATGTAAAAATCAATGTAATAAAATTAAATGCACAATGCTACGTATTTTTATTATATTATATCAATTAATTATTATTATTATTATTATCTATAAATTACATTTTTTAGTTTTATTTAAAAACTTACCAGCAGATGAATGCTTTTATTTTTTTTCATTTTATTTTCAATATTTAATTATCAATGTCATTTAAGTCGTTGAATTTTTTCCATTTCTTCATTATTGAACCTCAGTACTGTTGCAATTGCATTCAACATATGTTTACGACTGGACGAATCACTGCTAGTCAAATAATTAACAACTACGTTTTTTAAATATTCTAAATTAGCTCCTTCTCGTGATTTACAAGCTTCAAGTCTAAAATAAAAAAAAATATATATATATATTATCATTATCAGCTAAATAAAATACACTCGATAAAGCTAATCGACTGAAACGAATTACCTAGATATTTTAGCTTCCATCGATTTAATTTCATCAGCATGTCTCTGTGTAATAGCCAACAAATCACGCTGATTTTCTCTCAAATTATTTTCCAATTCACTGTTTTGTTTTCTTAAACCCGCGACTTGAATTTCCCGTCTTGATAATTCTTGAGCATAGTGCAGTAAAGGAGGATTATCAACTGAAAGCATCGCAGAAACAAAATCCGTAATAGGTTCAGATGTTTTTTCATTCAAGCCCGCTTTAGATTCTATTGTTGAAAGTAAACTGCTATCTTTTTTCATCAACATATTACGAATTGAAGATTTTAGAGTTCTGACTTCTTGGTCCTTTTCTTCAATTACAGCAAAAGAACGTTCGCGTTGACGCAGCAATTGGTGCTCGAGATCAGAAATTTTTCCTCGATACTCACTTTCTTTTTGCGATAAAATCAACTCAAACTTGGTTCTTTCCTCGTGAAATTGCTGAGACTGCAATTCCATTTTCATCTGCATCTCATTTTCTCGATAATTTAATTCTTTCGTTAACATACGGACTCGTTCTTCTAAATTTTTGCAATAAGTCTTTATTAAATTAACTTCGCTGGTGTCATTTTTATTATCCTTATTGTCTATATGAAAATTATTTTCAAGTGACTGTAATTTAATACTCATTTGCTCTTTATAAATATCAAAGTCTCGTTGTAATGATTCATACTTTTCTTTATATTCATTAGTATCCTCATTAATGGAATATAAATCAAGGCTTTTCAAAAATTCTACAATAAATAAAATAAATTATTTAAAGAAATAAAACAAAATAAAATTTTTTAACAAACTACATACCTTTCATATTTACTAAACTATTTTCCTGGTTATTCATGTCTAATAATCGCGCGTACAATTCACGAATTTTAGCAGCTATTTTATTAGGATCCTCTGTAAAATCTACATCACTATGATCTCTGTGCTCATGTAATTGCAAATCAGACAGTTGATCTTTTAATTTTTGTATCGCATGCTGATCAATTTGCCTTAAACGCTCATAACCACCAACAGTTTCTGACAATTCCGCAAGTCGTGTTTCTAAACCAACAACACGAGCTTCGTGAATTGCTTCTAACGCTTTCGACTGTTGTTCTGCAGCTACTGCTCTTTTTCGTTCCTATATGTAATTATGCGAATCAGTAATGTTATATAAAAACAAATAATAATATTTATTTTATAAATTCAAATTTATATTTGTCATTCAAAAATATCTGTTTCCACAGTGTATAAAATTTACCTCATGGATAGCAGCACGATGGTGCTTTCTCAACCCAGCAATTTCCGCCTGCAAAGATAAAAGCATCGGCGGCGTTTCATTGACAGCAGCCTCAGCTTCTTTTAATTTATTATTAGCAATTTCTAATTCAGCTTCCAATACTTTACTCTGTGTTTTATTATTAGCCTGTTTTTTTAATTCTTTTAATTGTTGCTCCAATGATTCTTTAGCGCGTCGCTCATCTGTAACTAATCGTTGAAGTTCTCTGAAAATAAAAATTTATTTCTTTAGCTATTATTCTACTTTAAATTTAAATTATGAATAAAAAAGTTTTACTTTATCATAGCCGAATTATCAGCATATTCCTTCTCTCTCTCGTGCCTTTCCATAATCAATTTATATTTAACATTTTCGACTTCCGACTGTACATTGTGTTGAGTTCTTTTTAATTTTTCTTTCAAGTCTTTTATAATTTTTTCGTACTAAAACAATACTCATTTAATTATAATTTATATTAAATATTAAATATTAAATATTAAATATTATTGTGCTTAACCAAGTACCTCATCTCGTTCAATTCTCAATTGCCGTCTGTCAGTTTGAAAACTTGCTTCCATTCTAGACTTTTCAGCCGACAAAGTTGCTAATGAATCCATCAACACGCTCAATTGGTTTTTTAATTCTTCAACAGAATCTTCCTTTTTTTCTAATACTCTTTTCTGTAAATTAATTTTATTAAGTCACCATTGCAGCCATAACATTCCATTAATTTATTGTACTTACACTGTCATTAATCTTTTCAACATCACCATTGTTTATTGAATTGTTATTTTCTTTTTTATTAGAATTTACATCTGATGAAAAAATAATATTAATTATTTTTTAATACCCTATTTAGTTAATTTTAAATTTAAATAGACAAAAGTTCAATCTGTCAAACTTACCATCGCCATATGATTTTTTTTTATCGTTATCAACAACTCTAGTTTTTTTAACTTTATCCATTATTTAATCACTCATATAGTTATTGAAATTATAAATACTTTTTTTGCTAAAATTATTATTAAAAGTTTTATTGTTTACAAAAACTATTTACATATATAATACACATAAAAACAACTAATATAAATATGGTTATGTTATTACATTTGACGTGAAAGTTATACCAGGTAAATATAAAATGTGACGTCAGACCACATGTGATTTAGCTAATAATTTATTTAATCAATCTGAGTTTTTAATCATTAAAATTTAAATCACGTAGTTTTAATTTGAATAAGTGTTTGCATTAAAAAATATGAATAAATAAATACTAAATGTACTTATAAGAAATTATTTTTAAATAGCGATTTATTTTTGGTAAAAAAATTTCTTACAAAATAGAAAATATCAGAAGTTTATAATTACAAACGTAATAACGAGTAATATTAATTTATATTGGTACAGATTCAACATTATCTTTAACGGGAGATTCTATTTCCAAAGTAACTGGCCCGTCATTTTCTATCTGGACGTTCATCATAGCTCCAAATTTACCATCTGTAATAAAATTAATAGATTAATCAATTTAATTGTCTAATATTTTATTTAATTAAAAATAATTAATTTTTCAAAATTTAACTTTTAATTTTTTCTTCAATATTTCTGTAAAATAGAGTCGTAATTTTTCCTTATTTTCTCTGATTAGAAAAAAAAGATTTGAAACGATTCGAAATGGCTCAAAGCGATTAAAAACGATTTAATTTGACAAATATGTAGATATACATTTTACATAGGTTGAATCGTTGTAAATCTTTTTTTTTTTTTTTTTTTTTTAATAAGGGTTACAAATGATATCATTAGACAAAATAGATACCTTTAATAAATTCAGGTTTATATTTTCGTTTCAATTCTTCCAAGAAGTTTTTATAAAATGTCTCAGCAGCTGAAGTAGACATAGCCCGATGAAAATCTAATTTATTTCCTTTCAAAATATGATAAAGAGTGAATTGACTGACACATAAGATTTCAAATTCTTTATCCATGACATTTAAAGCCCATCTCTTTCCAGTAGCTCCATCAAAAACTCTCAGCTTCAGTAATTTTTCTGCACTAAAATTTTTAGAGTATTTATAAGCAATGTAAGAATTCAATTAGTAAAAAAATTTAACTGTCCTTTATTAATTAATATTAATTAAAGCCTTACATGTACTCGGCATCAGCAATAGTATCATCATTTTTTATTCCAATTAGTACACATAATCCATTACCAATACGGCTAATTACTTCTCCATTGACTGCAAAATAATTAAAAGTTTTTTTTTTTTATTAATTAATCGGATAAATAAATTATAATTTTGAATGTTTAATGTACAGTAGCGCATGCGCTGTTTTGTAACCGTAACAAAAATCAAGATATTTATATACCTACGACCGACGCTTTTGTAACACGTTGAACTAAAGCTTTCATGGTATAATAAATTTCGGATTAATTTTAAGAACAAGTTGTCGATGTTTTGATATTTTAAATATTGATATAATCAGATATAAATAAACGCAGTATCGGCGTTCAATGTTTACAGACACTGCAAAAATAAAATTAAATAATAATAATAATAATAATGATAATAATAAAACGAACTTCGCTAATACATGCCACGACATCTGTTGAAAAATAGCACAAAAAGAAAATTCAACAGTGCTGCCAAGGATTTATATCAGAATTAATTTTTTTGGGATTGTCAACAACCACCACACATATTCCCGCGCTCCTTCATTTTAACAACAACCAATATTACTAACACGCCGTTATTCTACACTATCTACCACTATTACCAATACGAGAGATATATACCTATAGATAATGCTCATTTGACTTTTCAAAGATTGTTTACAAGCAATCGTGAATACGGAGCATAAGCATTACAATATAAATAATTAATATAATTAATAAACCTAGACTGGTTAGGCTAAAGAGTAACCTAAATAATAATAATAAATAATTAAAGTGTTGTGTGATAAAATGTATTAAGCGTCTCTCTCGATGATCTGCTGGCGCTGGATTGATTGTAACGCTTATAACGATAGTCATTTGGCAAGCCACTTGTTGCGTCTAGGTTATGGTGTCATAAACAATTGTTATGATTCCAAAAAAATTAATATTAAATTGATAATTAGTAATAATAATGCAAGATCGTGGTGTTGGGAGCATGGAAGCTCCTGGGATGAGCCTCTTCCAGGGCTCCGATAGCATTAAAATAAACTCCATTGTACACAGGCAAGAGGAGGATGAGGAACAGGAGGATTTGAAGCGACGTGATGAAGAGGTAACTTGATACATACTTTTTTTTTTTTTTTCCATATTTATGAACTTTAAATTTTATAATTCACTTCTTTTCTTGATGAAATTTGATATTTTTCAAAGTTTTAACCTAACTTTGGTTTATTTTTTAGATAAAAGATCTGTTGACAAACGCCTTTGAAGATTTGGACGAGGACGACGAAGTGAGCTCGGTAAACAGTAGCAATTTTCACGAGTCTCGAGATTTAGACCCAAATAATAGCAATAGCTTGATAAACAATCGGTCAAAAAATCAAATAAATAACGACAAGGCAGTTCCTACGCTGTCACATTATCAAAAAGAGTTTGGAATGTACACCTCTGATGGCAAAGCTAAGTATGCTATGAGTACGCCATATTATTCTGGTAAATCTAACTCCAAAATGCAGTGTGATTTTGACATGTACGGACAGATAGGAACGCCGCGTACTAGTAATAGAGACAATCATTCCCTAAATTCTATACCAGAAAACTCGTTTGAATTGCCAAGAGCACCGAGTCTCACTAGTCCAATGACGTTTCCAAATGATTTGCGGGCGCAAATCAATGATGGATACACTTTTGTGGATAATTATCCGTCTAATTATGAAACTCCGTCGAATCATTTTGATACACAGAACGCTAAATACTCAAATAATGGATACTTAGAGACTTATGACAATAATAATCCGTTAAAAAATATAACAGAAGTTGGTAGTGGTGACCACGATGATAGTTCGGATCACTACAACCACTGTTATAAAACCAGCCCGAATGGACGACCTGCGATCAGCAATGATACTAATGCTTATAAAACCGCTGAGTACAATAGTAAAGAACAGTTGGAGGTACTTTACTCGGTAAGAGTGCGCGAAATCGAACGACTGACTGAAGAAGTCCAACAACTCCAGTTGGAAAAAGAGGAAGAGAAGAATCAATTATCAAGGAAGCTAGCACTAGCTCAGTCTGAGATTGAAAGATCCAATTTATCAAGGAACCAAGCGCAGAACGCGCTGATTGACGCTAAAGCCGAAATCGCTCAGCTTCAAGGGCAGATTGAAACTTTTAAGGAAAAAATAACCGTGTTGGAGAAAACTAATAAAAATCTCAGTGATGAATTGAAGCAAGCAAAGAATTCAGTTGTTGATTTACAGCAGAAGATAGCAGTGCTGGAAAGAGTACAAAGTTTACAGGCTAACGATCGGACTCATGAGAAATTTTTGAAACAAGCTCAAGAAAAACACAGTATTGAAATGAAAAATATGCAAACACAAATTGACTTGCTCACTGATAAACTTAATGAGAAGGTAATTAATTTTTTTATTTAATTTTTTTTTTTTAATTAATACTTTATACGATTGTTTGTATTGACTAATTGTACATTAGTATGTAAATTATTTTGTCAACAAGCTGCCTATAATGGATTTGAATATTCAAGATCTATCGGCAAGTTTATATTTGTTGTTTGAAACGACTTGTGATTTTTTTTTTTTTTTTTTTTTTTTCCCTCAATTGATCAAGTTTTTTGTAGATTTCTTTTAATTTCCTATCGATTAATGATTGTTGTTTATTTATTATTTTTACTAGGAATCAATGTACGTGAGTTTGGAGCATAAATTAGCGGAAGTAAGACGTGCACATGAAACATTAATGGTTGAGAAAGGTGACACGATGAATCGTTTATCGAAAGCTTTAGAAGAAAGTCAAGTTCAATGTCGTAATCTCATGGCTACTAATAATGCTCAAGAGATTATGCAGTTGCAAAATCGTGTTAAAATTCTGACTGAAGAGAAAGAGGAAGTGCTCAAAACAGTTCAAGAATTGAAAGTAAGTATTTTTTATTCAACATTTTGTTATCTCAACGTTGGACACTAATCTATTTTCTAAAAAATTTAATAATCACATGAATAATTTGATAATTATTATTTCTTTTTATTTTATTCTTAATTACAATATCACTTGTAGGTTGTGACAATAAATAAAAAATTAACAAGTGATAAAATAATAATATTAATTAATTAAAAATACAAAACAAATTACTCATGCATTTTACTTATAAATAATTTTCAGCATAAATTAGATGTTGCTAAAAGTGATGCCTTGCAATATGATTCACTATTGACGTCAACAATGGAGGAAGAATCAGATTCTATCAGGCAAATGAAGCTTGGCGAGCTGCATAATAAATCAAGAAATAAATCGGGTGAAGATATAATGAATAAATTAAGGGGTGAATTACAGAGATGTATCGCTGGTCAAGCAATAAAACGTAAGGAGATAACACGACTGGAAAATACATTATCACAAAAAGACAAAGAACTTGAAAAGGCTTGTGCGCGAGCTGATTCTTGCCAGCAAGAGGCAGCACGTTATGCCAAACGTGTTACTGATCTTGAACATGAACTTAAATCTTTCATCAGCGATCGCTCAATTAAAGTGACAAATCAAATTAGAAAGCTGACAGAAAATTTAACAGAAGTGCGGGAACAGAATGCAACGCTGATGCAAGAAAAAACAAAATTGCAAGAAAAGTTGGAGGAAACTTTGGCAAGTCAAGAGGAAACGATCCGTAAAATTCAACACGAGACTATGGCGCAGCAAGAGAAAGAAATAATTGGAGAGTTCAACAAAGAGTACCTGGAAATTCATGACAAAGCTGTTGAACGTGCCCGTCAAGAGGCACACCTTGAAATAGTGCAATTAACCGTGCAATTAGAGCAAACACAAAGAGAGCTTGATCGCGTTAAAGAATTGTACATAGAAGTTTGTGGAACAAAAGAACAATTGATCAATGAGCATAAAGAAGAAATAAAAACGCTCAGAGAGACTTACGCTAGTTTAGAATCCCAAAAACAAGAAATTGATTATGTTAAGCTAGAGCTTGAGGCACAAATAAAAATTACTCAGCGATTAACTGGTGAAAGTGAGTCTTACAAAAAAAAAATAATTGAATTAGAGAAAGACTTGAGCTATGAACGGAAAAAGAAGGTTGAGTATACGCGAAAAATTCACGAGGAAATTGAACGAGCGAAAGAAGAAGCACTCGCGGAATTACGAAATGCTCATCCTGAACGACAAATCAGCATCTTGTTACCAGATCATTGCTCTGAACACTCAGATAAAATATCCCAGCTAGAATCGGACTGTAAACGTCTGGAAGAAAAGCTTTCGAGTGCCGTTGAAGAGCAGCAAAAAATGTCAGAATTGCAGAAGGATTTGGATGGAGCAAAAATAAAAATCGCCCAGATGGAAATTGCTCATGAAACGCTAAAACGAAAATATAGTAATATTGTTAATGAGAAAAATGATTTATTAGTAAAGTTATCGAGACGCGAGCACCAACTATCGGATTCTAAACATAATAGTGATAATAAGGAGGCTAATCAAGCAAGTGTATCAGCTAAAATAAATTTAGAAAATAATACGTTGAAGAGCTTGTGTGAGAATCTCATGAAGGATAAGATTGGATATCAGACGAGAATCAGTGAACTAGAAAACCAGTTGGTGGACTGCAAAAATAAGATAATGTATTATGAAAACAACATAAGTAGGTCACATGAAAGCTTATCGAATACGCGTAATGACTTGGAAAAAGAATTGAATCAGTACAAAGAACTGGTGAGAAAGCTCACTGATCAATTGAATAACAGCAAAGACGGCCAGAGAGAAGATATGGATGAGCAACGAGTCAAGCAACTAGAGCTCGAACTTCAAGAAAAAGAAGCTCAACTTCAACGGCTCAAAGATTTAGAAAAAATTAAAGAAGAAAGGGATAGTTTAATTACAAAATTAAAAAATCAAGCTAAACAATTTGAAGAATATGTTAAAAATCAAAAACAAATTTCTGCAGAGTTAAATTTATCACCACGTAGTACTTTGGATACTAATGATCTTCAGAGGATGCGTGAAATGTCTATAAAAACAGTACGCGAAGAGATGGAACAAAAGGTCGCTGAAGAGCTCCGTATGATAGAAGATCAGCATCGCGTTAAGGAAAAAACTATTGAAGAAAGATATAAAAATATTTTGTCGGAACTTAATTTAAAGTATGCGGAAAAGACGAAAGAGCTGGAAGCTATGAAAGAAGTTATGCTGACCGAAAAAATAAAATTACAATCTTCTTTTAAAGCTCAAGAGCAAATAGTAACTCAGATGATTGAGCAAAAAATTACCGAGTACAAACAAGAACTATTGGCACGTAAATTGACTATTGAAAATTTACAAGGACAGTTAAGGCAAAAAGAACTTGATCATGAAGAAGCTAAGAATTCTATGGCGCAAATTATGTCTACTTGGGCGGCAGAAAATCAAGAAATGAAAGACAATAAATCTAAAATGCAAGAGGAAATTAATAAATTAAAAGAAGCTGAAACAAAATTCACTGACGAGATCAATAGATTGAAGTTAAAAGAAAAAGAAATGAAAAATATCATTGACACGATAAAACATAAATATCAGTCAGCTAAAACCACTGCCCAAAATTATAAGGTAAACTAGTGGTTTTTTTTTTTTTTTTTTTTTTGAGGAGTATAAATATGATTTTTTTAACATTTTTTTTTATTGTTCATAGGAGTATGCGGAACAAAAAGAGAAATTTTTAATGGGAGAGTGTAAACGTATTGAAGATGGTTATAAAAAAGCCATAAATCAAGTACAACAGAACGTAGATGAAATCGTTAGTACCCAAGAATTACAGATGAAAGAAAAACTAAAAGAACTTGAGAGTCAATATGAAGAAAAGTTGCGGCAGACGCGGCATAAAATCAAGTACAAAGATAAACGTTGAGGTATATTATATTAATAATTATAGTTATAAATACTATAGCTATGCAATACTAGATCTGTTTCCAGTGACTGCCTTTTTTTCTCTCGATTTAGAAGAGGCTAGTTATTTTTTAATACAAAGCACTTTATCGTACAAGAATTATCTAATTATTATTATTACTATTATTATTAATATTATTACACTATTATAACATTATAATAAATTTTAAATAGTAGAATAATTGAGAACGAACAAAAAAAGCATTCTAAAATACTCTCGCAAATTCATATTGCTTTATTGAAAATTGTAATTCATTATCAAAATCAAAGTAATATTTAAAAGAAACTTGTATATAGAAAAAAGTTACAATTTTATTAGAGTCGTTGAATCGTTTTTAATATGTATTGAATTTTACATGACAAATTTTTATATTTGGCAATGTGGTTGCAATAAAAATGACAAATTTATGGGATCAATGAAGATAAAGTATTTTTAGTTTATCGCGACCACATTTAAAATTTTTTTAAGTAGTTTGTTCTTATTATATTGTAAAAATCAATCGATGCTTGCCAAACTTTAAAAATTTTTTTATTCATATTAGTAATAATTTATAATATAAATAAATATAATTATAGATTTTTTATGTGTGAACATGACATTATGTAATTTTAGTAGTATTAATAGACATGAAAATTAAAAATATCAAAATTAAATTTACTATAAATAAACGAAAAATATATTAACAAATCATAAATGATAATGTACAGTATTGCGCCAGATGTAATCGAAAAGAAAAAAAATGAATGAATCTCTATTTCCAATTATAACAAAAAGACATTTTTACGCAGTAATTAAAGAACAAAAAAATCAATATATGATAAATGAATAAAATAAAATAATTGTAAGTGTATATCTTAAGGATTAACAATTGTATAAAGTTATAATTATTAATTTTTTTTTAATTTTTCGAAATATAATTTCAGTACAATGTGCGAGTTTAAGCAGCCATACGGTAAAAAAAGTAATAAAAATATCATAATATTAGCAGGACTGATAGGATACAACTAATATTATTACTAATAATTGAAAATATTATTTTACATTGTGTCACATTAAATTTTTTTTTTTAATTCAATTCATCGTAACGTAGAATCTCATATATTTGTAATTTACAATAATCATTTCTTAGAAACAATATCAATTTCAGAAACAGATGAAATTAAATTTTAAAATCATCACTGGTTATAGAGTATTATTAATTATTAATTAGTCATGTATTTTTATAACTAAAATATTAATTAATTTATTTTTTGTAATACAAATTTTATGTGACATTACATTGTGTTTATTTTTTATTTTATCCTATTGATTTTGAATAATAAAGCGATTTATATAATTATTTTGTCCGAATTATAATATTCTTCCTGAATACATATTTACAAGTTATATAGTGTTAAATATATAACTATCTTTAAAAATTGATTTTAAAAAAAATATGCATCAAAAGATCATGAAAAAATATTTAAAAAATTTCTGTTTGTATTTTTGTATTATTTGCTGAGAAAATTTGTAAAATTTTAATGATATTGAAATTAATAGACATTTGTCAATTTTTTGAATTTTTATAACTAAATTGTTTAAAAAAAAAATTTTAATAAAAAAATTCCACATCTAGAAATTGAAAAAAAATTACAAGTGCAAATTTTTTAAGAATATTTTTTTTACAATTAATTTTTAATAAAAATCAATAATATTGTCTAATATGTCTACTGATTTCAGTATCATACATTTTTATATTATTAAAAAAAAAAAAAACTGACAGTTCAAGATTGAGAAAATTTTATATTTATTTAACACAATAAGTCCATTGACCTTTTTTGTGTCAGTACTTCAAGTCTCTATCGAGAAATGATGGTTTCAAGTATGAATCGATTGTACAGCAAGTCGATATCTAAAGTTATGAAAGAAAGAAATGATATACTGGCAGTTAGTTGAATGTGTGTGTGTGTGTGTGCTATAGTCGAGTCTCTGAGTTTCTAGTGTAGAGTGCCGTTAGCGAAGTAAAGTAGTTAAATGCTAAAATGGCGGATTTCAACGATATAAATTCACACAGTATGACAGAAAATAATATTTCAAAACGTTGTAATAATCAATGGGTTCGTTTAAACGTCGGTGGGACGTATTTTTTAACAGCAAAAACAACATTAGCACGAGATCCAAATTCGTTTCTCTATCGACTATGTCAAGAGGACTCCGACCTCATTTCCGACCGGGTTAGTTTATATACACATTTATTTACTACCCGCGTAATTTTAAAATAAACCTTCTTTATTGTAATTAATCCTCGTATTATAATTATAATTATCATAAACTTTTACAATTATTATTCACCTTGATATATTTGTATACAAGAATTGAATTATGTAAATCTATTTTCAATTTTTATTCAGGATGAAACGGGAGCTTATCTGATAGACAGGGATCCAACGTACTTCAGTCCAGTCTTAAATTACCTCCGTCATGGAAAGTTAGTGATAAATAAAGATCTCACTGAAGAAGGTGTACTCGAGGAGGCTGAGTTTTATAATATTACTGAATTAATAAGACTTGTTAATGAAAGAATTATTTTGAGAGACACACGACCGACTCGTGATTCAAAAAAACATGTTTATCGAGTATTACAGTGCCATGAAGATGAGATTACACAAATGGTATCCACCATGTCTGATGGTTGGAAATTTGAACAGGTATTTGTATAGTTTTATTGGATAAATATAAATATTACCCCACAAATATTGTTTATTGTCTAAAAACAACAGACACAAAAGTATTTCATTTTTTTCATTAATTTATCATTAAAAATTTTACAATTTTTATCACAGAAACTAAAAAAAAAAAAATACTTTAATAAATATACAAAAAAATCATCTTAGTTTTTTTTTTTTTTTTTTTTTTTTGTAAAAATTGATTACAATCACAATTCAACAGAGTTTTTTATATTAGTTAATTTTTTTAAGTGCATAGAAAAGAGTTGTCATTATGTCACGTTGTTATTTAACTTGAGTAGCAATTTAACTTTTAACAACTGCGATCAAAACTTTTATTATTGACACAGTACCTGTTATTGACATTTATTTTATTATTTACTAAAACTTCATCGATGTTTTTAAAAATGACAAGTAATTTAACAAAATTAGAACATATAGAATTGATAAAATTTAATATTGGAAAAATTAACATATCTATTGCGCTTAGTATTATGATAAATTGACCCATTATTGGTATTAAATAAATTTTAATGTCTAACATACTTTTTACCCGATAATTGAATTTTGCCCTCGTAATTTTCTAATAATGTTAATCGATACTTTGCTAACATAATAAAATTTTTTTCATTCAAGCTGGACCTTTTAAAAAACAAAAACTTAATCTTTAAAATTTTTTGAATAAACCATTTCTAAACTTTAAAAGAGTTTAATTTTATGAATAAAAATGAAATATTATATTTAAATTGTTGGTAATTTAATTGAAAAAGCCATATTTCACTCAAATTCAATAATAAAATTTATTTATTTTAATAATTCATTTTTTTAAATTATTTATAGCTAATTAATATTGGTTCACAATACAACTACGGGAATGAAGACCATGCTGAATTCTTATGTGTTGTAAGTCGCGAATATGGACCAAGTCAATTGACAAGTAAAGAGCAGGAATCCACCGATCGTGTTAAGGTACCGATATCTTATTCGCATTCTGCTCACGCCAGCCGAAATAGTCGTGAATAGGGTGTTATTTAAATTTTTTAATTATCATTAATCAGTACTATAATTTCAACTATTATTATGATTTATTATCATTATTAATTAATACAATTATAATTACTATTGTAGTAGTTATTTTGATAATCACTATTATGATTTTATACTTATTTATTTTTACACCGACGTAACAATCAATGATCATTTGAATGCATTAAATATCTATATTGTAGAAGTACTGCAGTATTATATATAGTATATATCATTTATTAATTTGAATTAAAGTCAATCAGAAGATAATAAGCCATGTATAATCTTTTGTGTTTTTAATTTAATAATTAATTTGTTTTTGTCAATAATACAAAATATTTCGTTGAAAATAATTTATTTTTTAATAGTGTGTTTAATAATTTTGAGACATATTTATTTATAAATAGACCTGCATGAGCATGTCCCATTTATAAGTTTATTTTGTGTGTAACTTTATTTTATGGTTATTTATAATCGCTATTTATTATTAAAATTTATTGTTATTATTGTAAAGCATGCTTTTTATTTGAGTAAATAAAGAATTTTTGTCTTTTTACTGGTTTGGTTACTTTCTATCCTTTATCCAGCATGGTTTTATTTTTGCATGTTTTATTTTTTACTATGGGAATTTTTTAAATTAAAAATATAAAGCTTTTGTTGTTAGTTGTAATCAATTAAGTGAAGTGGATAATGTAAATATAAAAAATAAAGCATATAATATTTTTGTGTTAAATTTTAATACTTGAAGGTGAGTTAGTTGTGGTTTTTATTTATTAGCAATGGGTTTTACTTTTTGGTTGCTTCAGATCTAGTTACGTCGGTAAATTTTTTATTCGAAAAATAAATATTATTTATTTTAGTAATAAGTTTAATATTTTTATAAATTATAAAAATAAAATAATCCATTTTAGGTGTTGCAGCAAAAGGGTTCAAGAATGTAATCATTACATACTATGATTTCTTCCTCTGTCCAGTCTACTATTATTTTTTTTATATGATATGAAATAATTTAAATATTCGATCCGCTAATATATATAATATATATATATTTCTAGTAATACATCTCTCTAGTTACGCGAAGACTGTTTTATGTTTTTCTTGTGATTAATTTTATTTACAATTAATAATCGTTACTCAATGATCATTTTTCTCGTTATTTATTTTTTATTGTCTATATAATAATATTAAAATAAAAAATAATAAAAATACGAGATAGATTAAAAAAAAAGCAAATTATGAAAATCTTTGTCATTTAACATTTAGTAACAAGGACAATATCGATTTACACGAGTTAATAGGATGTAAATTTATACAAGCGAAATCGTGACGATCTATTAGGTTTAAAGCTAAAATAAAACATATTAATCGAAATTTAAAAATTTTCCGATAGATATTAAGAATGAAAATTTTGTACTAAATTATTGTAAAAAAAAAATTGAGATTTTTCTTTTAATAAGTTTTTTGGCTTAAGAAATTAAACCACTAGCGCACTGCCGCCGTTTAAAAAATAAATAAATATTATAAAAAATAGTAATAATAATAATAATAATAATATATTTATAACAATAAATAAAATTATGTAAGATGCAAAAATATACAATTAAAATTTTGTAATTAATAAGTTTAATAATTTAAATTTAAAAATAATGAAAAATGGCAATTTTAATAATAATTAAATTATGATGTTAAATCAAACATGATATATTTAAATATATATACATGTAAATATATTGAATAACACAAAAGTTCATAACAGTTTCATAAAAGAGGACCAAATTCCCATCACAATTAAATTACATCTTTGGAAAAAAAAAAAAAAAAAAAAAGAAAAAAAAATCAATTAAATTCTAACACCTTACCTCGATTTATTAATAATTAAATCAGATGATACTTAAGATGATGTATTTGCAAGTAATTATTGACCATATTTAATATTTTAAAAAACAAATACTTAATTATTGTGATAAATGATGTAAATTTTCAATTATCACACACAACTGGCCTATATACAGAAATGATTAATAAATTTTCACATTTTACACTTTACCAATAAGCAAAAAAATTATAAAATTATCTTTAATTATTAAATAAATAAATAAATGAATATATTAATTAATAAATGTTAGATAATTATAATCATAAAAAAAAAAAAACGAAGAAAATAAATAAAAGTAAAGGTGCTTGATAAGAACATGTTAATAAACGTAATTGATGAATTAATTAGTGCAATAATCTGGTTTCACTAAATTTATATTAAAAATATCAAATAGCTCAACATTTGAATAATGAATTAAATAAAAATAACAATGATATTGAAATAGTAAGCATTGGCTTTGTAAACAATAAACATTAAATAACTATAATCTTGCATTAAAAAATGAAAAAATATTTTAGATGTACATCATAGGAATATCGTTTGAATATTTGTGAAAAAAATATTTGTACTTTGGTATAGACATTTATTAAAAAATAATCACATTCGTCAAATTATCAAATGTCTTACTATACAATTAAATATTGAAATTAGACGTGATAATTGTATTTGTATATGTATAATTGCATCAAAAAATTAATAATGTATGAATTTTACAACAAGATACATTTTTAAATAAATTTATTACAAGTTAAAGTAACAATCAGCACGATCAAAGAAATAACAAAAAGATTTTATACCAACTTTAAATTTATTAAATGAAAAAAGAAGTAAATAAATTATAAACAGGAGATTTAAATAATTAAATATAAATACTCTACTTATACGTTCATTGAAACTGCACAAATAATATTTAAATATTTACTAAGGTCTTTATATATTTGACGTTACAATTTTTTTCTATTAACAAACATTTTTTTTTTTATATTTAAATTCATTAGTTAAATTAATAAATAAAATATTAAATCTATAATTGTATTAAAGTAATTTTTTTTTTATTTATATACATTTTAAAGTGAAATATTAAAATTCTTTATGCTTGTAATTTTGTGATTGTATGTGAGATACTGATTTTCAAAGAAAATTTGACATTTTTTTATAATAAAATTAATGACTTAAGCAATTTTCATTAGAATTTCTAGAACTAAAAAATGAAAAAAGATTAATTATGTACATTTCTTTTGTATGAATTGTGATTTAATCTTAATAAAAACTTTGTTGTACATCCTGACTTAAAAAATAATTGGATAATTTCATTATGAAATTGTAATTGCTATTAATAAAAATAATTGTCCGTTAGATTCTATGTATATATTATTTACTCAAAATCCTTGATATGACAATAACAGTTGAATATTATTTGTTTAATAATATAATAACTTTATTTGTTATATACAGTTTCCAATAAAAAATATGTAAGAAATTCGTGACTTATTTTTTCATTATTGTTATGATTATTAATTGATATAATTATGGCATACTAGCTATAGTTTTAAGTGGTTGATCAAGATATTTAGCAAGAGCTTGAGCTTTTTCTCTTAACAGCCCAAACCCGACGTTTTCTCTCGCATAAAGACAAAGTAATAAATTTGCAACTTCTGTTATAACAACTTTCCCTTCCTGTAACAATAAAAAATATTACATTATTCACAACTTTACATCGTTAAAATACAAATTTTTATGACACTGAAATCAGTAGACGTCTGAAAATTTTTTTAATTTTTTTTACAAATAAATTATAAAAAAAAAATATTCTTAAAAAATTGCACTTGTAATTTTTTTTTTTCAATTTCTAGATGTGGAATTTTTTTATTGAAATTTTGTTTTAAACAATTTAGTTGTGAAAATAAAAAAAAATTGACAGCCATCTGTTAATTTCAGTATTATTATTTTTCAAATAAAATAATACCTGACAATCCATCAAGACAAACTGTAATTCGTCTTCTTTAAAAGCATTCCGTCCATTTTTCTCATACGCAGACCAAATATTACTCGTTATGGCAGCGGTTACTCTAGCGTCCTTATCACCATACCCGCTATAAGCCAGAAGACCACCATCTCTGCTGAGTAATCTGCAAAAATGAATCATTTTTGTTATTGACTTCCAGCATTCCAAAATTTCAAATCCTTAAAAAATAAATAACTACCGATCTTGAGTAAATAAGATTAAATAAACTATCAACTTACAAAGTATTTTCAACACCACCAGTATTAGCTTGACTTAAAACTTGCATCAAAGCTTTTGGCTTCAACATTTTGCTGTTGTATAAATCTCTCAGGTTAGAATAAAAATTAATTTTTTTACATCCGCAACTGAAAAATGAAATTTAATTTTAAATATTTGCTATAATTTTTTTACGCATTACAATTACCTCTCTATAATAATTCCAACATCGATTTGAAAATTACTCTTTGTATTATCTGTCAATCAGCATTCAGAAAAAACATCTGTGACCTGTCATTTTTTTTTTTGCGAGGCGTAAAAAAATATTTACGGCCCTTTTGACATATTTTAATAAAAGAAATTACTCTTATCAATGATCATCAACAAGAAAATTTATTTTATCTATAAAAAAAAATTTCAATTCAATGTTTATAAAAGCACCACCAGCAAAGATGGCAGTACCTGTTTATAACTTGATCACATCGTGTTTAGTCTTGTCGTGAGCGATCTGTACCCTAGACCGAGGTTATTGAAATCACCTCACACTCTTTGGCATTAAGGCAAAAGAGTAGCAAACACGCTGTAAAATACTTATATATATATATAAAGTGACTTATTGTTGTGCGTTTATTTTACCTACAATCAGTTTTAGTAGTCTAAATTATTTATTAATTTCTTACTGATAAACAAAGTATTCAAGCCATGAGATTGGTGCGTTTGTGATAGTTAGTAAAAATACTGCCACTGAGATACCCACATACATATATAAAAAAAAATATATATAATAATTCTGTGAAAGGTAATCGAAGGTGCGTGAGTTTTTTTTTCGTCCAAGCGTTTGACAAAAATTTTGCACATATATTATACATATATGTAGTGTATTTAAGTACTTTTTGTTTATAGATTGATTTCGACCCCCAACAGCTCGTTTATTTGTCCGTCTCATTAGAACAATCATAAATTATCCGTTATCCGTCAATTATATACTTATATATATATGTATATAAAAATTTTTTTTTAATATCAAACGTTTAATTTCCTGCCCGAAGTTATTCAACCTTGTTACGGTCGCTCTTTACTCTTCTATTCCTCGGTTAAAGCCTTGCACAATTAGGTATTGCCGAGTAATTTTTTTCATATTGCTTAAATATACATTTACGCATCTATGTGTTTATGTATATATGTATATACATTAGTGCTTATTACACATTTATGCTTACATTAAATAATATACGCAAATAATTTTGTCATCTGTTTTGTGTTTAATAATTTTTTATACATTTTTACTTATTGATAATTTTTATTGTAGAGCGAAAGCAATCAATCGTTTGTGTATGTGAGGAGGAATCATCGGGCTTTGTGTACGTAAAAAATTGCAACAAAAATTTTTTATAACAAATTAAATTTAAACGTCTGAAGAAATTATAATTATTTATACTTATAATTAGTGACGTTTATAGTAAAAATAAAAACAGAAAATAAATTAAAAAAAAAAAAAAAAAAAAGCAACCCTTTAATAAGTTATTAAAAGATTATTGGAGATGTATTGATGAACTTAACCTCTTCCTTGTTGAACGTGGAAACGACCCAGAATAATCGTGATATTTATTACGAGACTGAATATATTACTGATCAATTTGGTTTGTGTAACTTATCAAATTCTCAGCAATATTACGAGGTAATTTTTATTTTTATTAAAAATTTGTGTTTTTTAATTGTAACCAATGATATTGATTGACTATTGTATTGATACTCTGTAAAATAGCGAGAATCGTGGGAAGAAGAAGAAAGAGAACACGTTGCATCGGCCCGAGAACATAATCCAGCATTACTCGGCAGATTGATATCAAGACGCCGAATAAAAGAGGAGCCGAACGACTTAGGAAGAATCAGTAAGGACAAGAGATTAGTTATTAGAGAAGGAGGGATGCCTCGCAGCAAGCGCCGAGCGCCCTCCAGTACAAACCATCATCATCACGCGTCTACTGATATGTCACCAAGTGCCCATGAGGACGGAATGCCCAGACATCCCTCCAAGAGGCTGCGTCACACATCAAAGTAATTATATTTTTGTTTTTTTTACATAATGTGACTTTATTGATAACGGATAATTTGATGTTGTGACCGTTGTGCTTTTTATTTAGAAAACTTTTTTAGAAATTTTTATACGAATAATTGATAACAAAACGGCCTTGATAATCTTCTTATTTATTATTTGCAACGTCAATATTTTGATAAAATGTTGGTAGACATTTTTACTTAGTTATTCTTTGGATGCACCCACTGATTCTTAGTAGATATAGAGAGCGAAAGTTTAAAAATAGACGATCCACAGTTTTAGCTTGCCCTTCCTTTCGATTAGAGTTAATTTTGTTGGTCCAATTCTCAATCTTAAACTTTTGAGTATTTATTTTTGTTTTGTAACAATTTTTTTTTTTTTAATTTCAATTAAAGAAACTTTAAATCCTGTAATTTGTATTTTTTAATTACGTGTCAGCAATACTTGGTTTAATCGAATTAATTTTTAATTTTTAAGTGAACAAGATAAATATTTGTACAGTTTGACAGTGTATGGAAGACGACGGGTCTGTTAATATCTACAAACGATTGAATAATAAATAGTTTTTGTTTTAAATTATATTTATATAGTTATTTTTTTAACTTGGTAATAAAGATTAATTTTTTTTTTTACAGTGCCAGAAGATACACAAAAACAGAAGATGTTCCAGCAGCATCGTCATTTGTCCAGAAACGTTGCATTGCATGGTTTAGAGAGTACACACCTGCAGATGATCCTGATACCCTGGGTCCTGATGGAATGGAAAAATTTTGCGAGGACATAGCTGTCGAACCAGAAAACGTAGTGATGCTTGTACTTGCGTATAAAATGAACGCCCGTCAAATGGGATTTTTCACACTCAATGAGTGGCTTAAGGGATTATCAGAATTGCAATGTGATACCATTCATAAATTACAGCAAAAACTTGAATATTTGAGAAGTCTACTCAACGAACCACACACGTTTAAAGGAATTTATAGATACGCTTATGATTTCGCTAGAGTATGTATTTTATTGTTTATTAAAAATTAATAAGAAATTACTCATGATAAAATAAGAGTTCATTACTTTAACTTGAACTATGACAAATCAATTGAAATGATTTTTTTTTATTCTTAAGGATAAAGATCAACGTAGTATGGATATGGAAACGGCTCGAGTAATGCTTCAATTATTATTGGGAAAACATTGGCCATTATTTTCACAATTCGCGCAATTTTTAGATCAATCCAAGTACAAAGTTATCAATAAAGATCAGTGGTGCAACATTTTGGAGTTTTCACGAACTATTAATCATGATTTATCGAATTATGATTTAGATGGAGCGTGTAAGTTTATTTAATTAATTTTTTTAAAGATTTTTCAACCGATTCAATGGATTATAAAACCAGTTATTATTTATCTGAAACGGGAGTTATGAGTAAATTATATTTTTTAGGGCCAGTAATGCTCGATGAATTTGTTGAGTGGTTAAAAATTCAACGGGGAGAAGGAACCTCGTCGATGGGAGTTCGAGGCAGCTGAAATATTACATCAAAATTAACTTATATTTTACGAAAAACACCCGCCTAACTTAATTACAACAATTTATCTCTCTCTTTTAATCAATACTTTGTTAATTAAACCGATAATTATTAATATTTTTGTCCTTAAGAAAAACAATAAGTTGATACACTCGCTGATAAAATAATTATTCTTAGTAATTAGTTCAATTCTTCGTTTTTATGTCTTAATAATACTTGTAGCGTAATTTCATTTGCATATAAAACTTTTTAAAACTGAAACTTAAATGGAAAATATTTTTGGCCGAATAGTTAGTTAGTTAGTTAGTTAGTTAGTTAACATAATAACAATATTAATTAAATGAATTATTATTATAATTAAAAATAATAATAATAGTAATAAAAATTAGAATAATAATAATTATCATCATTATTTACAATAGCTGATAGGTTATTTAAACGACTTTGAATGTCGCCGTGTACTTTACATGTAGTTGTGCTTAGAAATTCGATTGTTTATATAACTAAATATTTATTACTGATGTAAACAAAATGTAAATTTTTTATCTGATCATTTTTACCGCCGCTAATAATTTATTAACTGCACTGAGTCTACTTGTAGAAATGTAAAAAAAGAAAAGAATTAAAGATGAGCAGACCCGTCCAACTAAATTTTCTCAGTGAGATTATCAAACTTTGACAATATTCACTTAAAGCACTTAAAAAACTATAACTATCACGTAAGTTGGATGGATAGGAATTATTAATTAATAATATTAATCATAATAGTTATAATATAGACAGATAAAATCAATAAATCGCTCGATTTTGAGCACAATCATGTAAATAACGGCGTATTTATCGATAATTGATTGATTTCAGTAGCGTTAGTGCACGGAATTGATCATAAATATAATTTAAAAAATGGTAAATCAAGTAATTAAAACTGAAAATAAAGTTTTAAGTGCAACTTGCGCAGGTTTTAAAGGCCTATCGCCGGTATTTGAATTTTAAAAATTTGAAGGCCCATTTTATATAGATTTTGAAATAAATTAAAACTATTTTTGTTCGTGATTATTTTATCTAATTTATCATTGTTTAATTGCTTTTGGCCCCACTATGTTTCAATTAAAATTGTAAAAAAAAAAGTTAAAATAAGTAATCAATGCGTGGTAAAATATTTTAATGAATTATTTAAGCTCATAGCTAACTTTTAATATTAAATTAAAATGCAATCAACTCTTATGAATATATATTATCACAAGAACTGATTTTTTTATAAATAAAAAAAAAAAAAAAAAAATAATAATATGGAAAGAAAGAAAAAAAATTTAATTAATAATCATAAATCACTATTTGCTCAATTAATTTTACGATGTTGCGTTTCATTTACATTAAAACTCATTACGCATTATTGTATTAAGATTTACGGACAATTTTTTATGTCATTGTTTATTTAGCCGTAAATTAGAGAAAAAAAAAAAAAACTAATTCACAATTTTGATTAAAATAAAATTAAGTGCCAATATTATGTGAAAAATAACTCCGTATTTTTGTTAAATTAATTATCTGATTGACAAATCATTTAGTTATTGTAATTATTTTTTATTTACAATATCTGTCTGCTTTCATTTTACTCCTTCTATCGAGTAAAGTTTCGTGTAAAATTCCTTCAGCTTTAGCAGTCGCTAATTTGCTTCGATCTTCGGTGTTTATCCTTAGCTTTTTATCTTGGAATTTTTGAAACTTTCGGCTAAAAATCAAAAAAAAAAATAATCAAATAAAATTGAATTGATGAGTGTAAATAATTAAATTATTAATTCAAAGTAATTAATACATACACATAATTAACTTCAACTTCAGTAAGTGATCCTTGTTCTTCAATAGGTATACCTTTGGTAGGGTCATCTATTCGTTGGACCATACTTCTCAAACAAACATATTCTTGTGGTCCAGCTGTTTTGCTGTTACACATTACATCGTCTTCTTCAGTCACTGACATAAAACAGCTATTATTACCTAGAATTGCAAGTTTTCCCTCCTGGAATTATTAGATAAATATTATTACAAATAATTGGACGTGAAAAAAAACACGTCATTATTCATTATATTACTAATTTTTAAATTTGTTTAAAATTCCTTACATAGATATAAATAAATAAAATAAAAATTATACAAAATGAAGAAATAGTTAATTTAAAGAAAAAAAAAACTCAGTAGTTGAAAATATAGTGTAAATGTCTAAAATAGCAGAATAACTAAACAAATTAAAATAATCATAATTACTTGGAAAACAGGCTCCCATTGTTCCATAGCACCAACAGCATCATTCCTTCCTACAACAACTCCTCTTTTATCAATCCCAACGTATTTTCCATAGCCAGACTTGAGGGCTATTTTATTTTCATTTACTGGAAATGCAGTGAGGATTTCTTCCGGAGACGGTCCATCACCTTCGTCATGTGGAGCTCCCAAAGTGAATAATCCATTGTCTAACGCTTTTATGTAAGTATGGTTACCGAATTCTATAGCAACTGTTCCAGTGATTTCAGAGAATAAATTCACCTTCCACCAACCACCTGAAAGAATTATTATATTATTGTTTATTTATTTATTTTTTAAAGCCATGGAGTCAAGAATCCTTGCAGCCCTCCAAAATATATACAAAATTTTTATACAATAGTGTAAAACAATATTAAACAAAATATAATAAACAATTATTAAATGACATTAGCTAAAACGTTCCATCATAAATCCACTCCAAAGACCATTAAAAAACACTCTCTTCACTCAACATGAACTCATAACAGGCTTGACGGAAAGTTTGAAAATCAGGCTATGACGTATAGTGATCAGGTAACCGATTCCATGCTTTGACTGCACTATCTATGAAAGATTTATCATAATTTCGTACTATGACAACTCGGCAACTCAAGATAGTCCTGACGCACCCCTTCAGAGACGAGGCTCGCGAATACGTAAGACACTGTCAATAAGTGGCTTGATTTAAATACGAAGATTATAGGTTATCTTTTTTTTTTTTTAATATTTTATTATAAATATAAAACGTTCAATTAATTTAATATTTACCATGTTGAGGAGCATCATTTTCAGCAACTTTAGTTTCTTCATCCTTGTTGTCTTGTTTTTTTTGCTTCCGTTTTTTAGACCTAAATAAACAAATCAGTGTTACAGTAAATAAACAATTATTTAACAATTACAATATTTAAAAAAATTCGTACTTTGTTTTTTCTCCTTTGAGTTTAAGTTTTCCTACACGCACTTTATTATATTCAGACATTTTTTAATAAATAATGTAATATTTATAATTTTAAAAATACTCTCCACTTGCTTGTTGTAAACAGTGTAAATCTATATTTACTCGTGTATTTTTGTGTAGATGTAAATTAATGGAAACATTTTTAGTTCTAACACGAACGTTAGATGGCTAACTATCACGCAAGGATGTAGTTGTTAAGGGGTACTACACTATATACTAATAATGATAATAATATTGCAAGAATAATTCGTGTTTGATAATATTTATTCACTTATTTATTACATAAAAAACTTAGCGTCTCTCCTTATAATTAGTCAGGTCACAAACGATAATATAATAATAATAATAATACTGCACAGTCACGCCACAGCTATGGCGTGCAGAAAGGCGGGATTATTTGAATTTGTGTGGGACTGTTTATTGTAGAGAGAGAGAGTTTCCCGCTCCGACGATTGGCGCTTTGGTAGATTTGTTTTGACTTCTGGTCGCTGGGAGCGCGACCGAGGCGGCAGGACCGCCATAAGGATGTAGGGATTAATAATAATAATAATAAATCTCAGGGGTACCACTAACACCGCTAACACCGGCCCGTACGGGGAGAGGTAGTTGGTAGGATTGTTGAGCGCCTAGTTTGATTCATTTTATTTTAGTATTGAGTATCGTGTGTGTGTGTGAGAGTGTTGTGTGATTTGATTGTGTGTGTTTACCCCCACAAGGATAATATGACAGGTGTGAAATAGTCGATGTACTCAAATTCCAAAACATCGATAACAAGAAATAAAATTTTTACATATTTTTAGTAAACAAAGTTTGCGGTCAGATAATTAAAGACATGAAGAGTTCCGAAATGAGTAAAGTTGAGGAAGAGGTACTCACGTTACTGAAAAAAGATGCTACAACTAGTGAACAGAGCATTTCTAGCTTAATGTCCAGTGCTTCAACAATCCAAGATGAAAATTTCCGGGTGGCTAAGCACGCAGAGATAAGTTTAAAATGCATGGAAAATTATTTACATAAGCAACAGCTTACTGATATTGTTTTAATTGCCGGTAATTATTATATTAAATACATATCAACGTTCTAATTAGCAAATTGTCTAACTCCATTTTAGAGAATCTTCTATTTGTATGAAAAAATAATAAAATAATTAGTTCAAAATTTATTATCACTTTAAAAAGCAATTTAATATCTAATAGAGGTATAATATTTTGGTTTGGATCATTCAAATAATTTATAATCAGACTATTGTTACATCAAAATTTTAAAAAATCATCCTCTAAAAAAAAAGAGTTAGACCAATTGCAAATTATACCGTCGATATTTTATTTTAATATTGTATTTTAAATATGATTTTTTTATGTAGGTGACAAACGTTTCTCAGCGCATCGACTAGTGCTTAGTGCTAGCTCAGAATACTTTGCTGCAATGTTTACTAGCTCGTTACGAGAATCGAATCAAAATGAAATAGAACTGAAAAAAGTTGACCCTGATGCTCTATGGGCTTTGATTCAATATTGTTATACAGGTAATATTTTTAAAAAAAATTACTAACAAGGTGTCACGTTTGAATATCTATTAAATGTATTGTCAATTTAGAATTTTTTTAATTGCAATTTTTTACAAATAATTTTCTAAGCCTAGTTTATTTTTCAAGAAAAATAAAAAAACTATCAATGTTTACTAGTTTCAGTATCATATTTTTTTAATTTAATATTCAAACATTTAACTTAATTTTTTTTTTTTTTTTTTTAATTAGTAACACGATGCATTATTTTTTTTTAGGAATCATAGAATTGCGAGAAGAGAGTGTAGAAACTCTTTTAGCAACGGCTAATTTATTGCAAATAGATGCTGTCGTGAAGGCTTGTTGTCAATTTTTAATAAAACAGCTTCATCCTAGCAATTGTCTGGGCATACGTATGTTTGCTGATACTCAAGGTTGTGGACATTTGTTGAATGTCGCTCACACTTATGCAACCGTACACTTTATGGAAGTAATGAAGAACCATGAGTTTTTCTTATTGTCTGCTGACGACGTTGCTAAGCTATTAGAATCCGATGACTTGAACATTCCAGATGAAGAAATTGTATTCCAAGCATTGATAAGTTGGCTTCAATATGATTTGGATAATCGGCGTAAAGACGCTGGTAGACTTTTAGGATTAGTGCGATTACCTTTACTGTCACCTATTGTAAGTTTATTTAATATATTAACTATGCATTCATGGTTCACATATCTTCATGATCATGTTACTCAAATTCAAATACATCTGTTAATTTTTTTCAATTTTTATTAAAAATTAATTTAAAAAAAAAAAAAAAAAAATACATTTTTTTTTAATTTTCTATATGAGGAACTTTTTTATTAAAATTTTTTGATAATAATTAAGTTGTTATAAAAATCCAAAAAGCTGACAGATGTCTTGAAATTTCAGAATCATTCATGAGCACGCATTTGTAATTTAGTTTATTTAATTAGTATAAATTTTTATAGTTTATAGCCGATCACATAGATGAAAACGAGATATTTAAAAATGAACGACGAGCTCATGAATTGGTAATGGAAGCTCTAAAGTATCATTTACTACCTGAACGTCGTCCTCTACTTCAGTCATGCCGTACACGACCCCGTAAAGCCACCGTAGGACAATTGTTAGCAGTCGGCGGAATGGACGATCACAAGGGTGCAACGTCAATAGACGCATTTTCTCCTTGTGATAATACTTGGAAAAATTTAGCAAGTATGAATGGCCGTCGTTTGCAATTCGGAGCAGCTGTAGTCGAATCTAAGCTGATTATCGTAGGTGGTCGTGATGGATTAAAGACTCTAGACAGTGTTGAGAGATTAGACTTTTCAACGCTCAAGTGGAGTAGACTACCGCCAATGAATACTCATCGTCACGGGCTAGGTAAGTTTTATAATTTACAATTATCTAAAACAAATTATTTCTTATTATTTAATCATCAATAAATCAGAAAAAATTTAATAAAAAAATAATTTATACTTTTCATTAAATTTTATTTACTGCTTATATTTACAGTTATACACTAACATGATTATAAAATAAGAGCAATATTACATAGGAGTAGATTAAAAATACGAAAAATAATTATTTTGTTGGATAACATGATTTTTTAAAAATAGGTGTAGCTATACTCGGAGGACCTTTGTATGCTGTCGGTGGCCATGATGGATGGGGTTTTTTGCAGACAGCAGAGAGATGGGATCCCAATACTCAAGAGTGGAGTTTGATTGCTCCAATGCCACAAGCAAGATCTACTGTTGGAGTAGCAGTTCTTAACGATAAGTACGTTTATGCATAAGAATATTTTTTCTAATAATTATATCGTTGAACGGATTTAAGTTTGACAATTGTATACGTTTTTTTTTTTTAATATAGATTATATGCTGTGGGTGGAAGAGACACTAATTCATGCCTAAATACAGTAGACTGTTATGATCCTCACACCAACAAATGGACAAGGTGCGCACCAATGTTCAAACGAAGAGGAGGTGTAGGTGTTGGAGTGGCTAATGGTTGTATTTATGCTCTCGGTGGTTACGATGTTGCTGCCAAAGGTTCTAATGCTTGTCGTTATGATAGTGTTGAGAGGTAAAAGTGATTAATCTGTGCATTGTTTTTTATTTAGTAATTTCCTGTATATTCCAGATATTTTAATTAACTATATATGCCTTTATCTGTTGCAGGTATGACCCTAAAACTGATACTTGGACGATGGTTGCTCCAATGAGTGTTGCTCGCGATGCCGTCGGTGTCTGTCTACTGGGTGATCAATTATTTGCAGTTGGAGGCTACGACGGACAGCAATATCTCACTCTTGTCGAGACTTATGATCCGATTCTCAATGAATGGCATCAGGTACACACCTTTAGCTTTATATTATTTCAAGCTACATTAATATCTAATTATTATTACTTAGCTCTTAATTTATTTGGTTAACTTATTTTTATTGATGATAAGTATTGACGGGATTTTAATATTGTCATTATTTATTAGGTATCACCGCTCAGAACTGGAAGAGCAGGACCTTGTGTTATTCTCAAAGATCCCATCGGCTAAAATAATATATTATTTAATTATTAATAAATTATTTGTTAGTAACTTAATTTTGTAATACTACAAAATTTTTTTCCTTTAATCAGTATTTTTAAAAGACAAATTATTTAAATTATATCTGACTTTAATATGTATGTAAGACTGAATTTATTTTGAAGCTCATGCTTTTTAAAATAATTAGTTTTTATTGAGCATTGTATTATACTGTTTCTTTTTTTGTCTTTTTTAGAAATGCATGTGTACTTTAATATTTACATACTATTTAAGGCGTACTGTATCGGAAAACATTGTAATATCGATTCTTTATTTTATATCTATTTTTATATAATGGCTGCTGATATAATAAAAAATTATCATAAATAAATCCATAAAAGTACAAACCTTTTGTGTATAATATTTATACGCGTATAAACGCCCATAAATTTATAAGTATTGAAATATTTATTACAGTAAGTGTGATTAATATGCTGGAAATACACGATGGAAATCTGATGCTGGCTCGGCAAATTTATTTCGAACCATAAACGTTGCTATCGCTTCGGCAACTTTATCTGGAACGTCTTCATGAACTGCGTGTCCACATGCAGGTAGCACTTGCATTTGAAATTTACCTACAAAGAATATTTGTTATTAATTATGTTATTAATGATTACTTATATAAATATAAAATAAAAAATATTAGTTTTAAGAAGTACCTTGCATTTGTCCTACAGTGAGTTCACGATCTAATCTATCAATTCCAGCTAACAGCAACAATTTTGGAGCAGGAGCATTTAAAAATGCCGTTGACAAGCCTTTGAACCAACCGCTCCAGTGATTTTCAGTTTTCGATAAGTTTATTCTCCAACTATACTTTTTATTTTGCGTTGTAAAATCTTTCGTTGCCGTGGGTAATTTATGTTTCTTTTCATCATCATCATCATCATCATCATGATCATGATCATCGCTAAAAACTTCATCTTCATGTATTATATCATCACGTTCGATTGTAACTGATAAATTTTCAGTGGAATGAGCAACCGATGATGCCAATGCGTCTTTAATGTCGTGAGTTGCAAGTTTATTTGTTTCATTGTTTTTTATCTGCCCTGGAACTGATACTTTAGCTGATTCAATGTTCCGTATTTGCCCGCTCCGTACACTAAAAGTAACAAAAATCAAAGGATAATTTAATTATTTAACAAAAATAAAAAACTAAAAATAATAAATTTAATTAAATTACGAACCACCACTCGATAGCTTGTGAGATTGAACCAAAACTAGTTGGCCTTGACCTCAGAAAACTTTGCATCGATGTCAAGGCATCCATAGCTGTGCCTTCAACCACATCGATCACAGTTAATCCAGCCAAGTTTTCTATATGTTCAGCTGCTCGAACTGCTACAGCACCACCCATACTATGCCCAACCAATACAACTGGGTTGTTTTCTGTTACTTGTTTTATAACAGCTGCAACATCCCTGATAATTTAAACATAATATTAATTAAAAATTTTTATCCAAACACACTTGGTTAAATAATTATGACAATTAGAATAACAACTTTACATTGCTAATGTATCTGCTGATAAATTTTCGTCATCTGTTGTGTGAGTATCACCATGACCTCGCAAATCCATCGCTAATACTCGGCAAATTATCATCGATGTTATAGATTTCTGTAACATAAATATTTATCAATTCAAGGTCTTGATAACTTTAGATTATTATTATTAATAAATTCATTTATGTTATGTCACTGATTTGTCGAAAAGCAGTCATTATAAAAACTGTTATTTTAAAATTACTGCTGACGAAGTAGTAATTGAATTATAAATAATAAATACTATTCAATAATCATTTGTTATTTCCGTATTTAAAATATTAATATTTTTATAACATTATATGTAAAAAAATTACCGTAAATTCTGCCCAAGTTAGAGCACTGTAACCACCACCATGCAATAATACGAGAGTTGGTCCCTCATTTCCTTTTGTATAAATATGAAATGTATTCTCTCCAATTACAACATCCTTCGATTCATCAAAAAAGGGGGTCCATTCTACGGGGTCGTAGTCCCGCTTTCGTTGTAGTGCCCTTGCTTTACATGATCTATACAAAAACAACCAAAATGTTTAATTAATTTTACGATAATAATTTTAATAAATCTATTTTATATTTTTTTTATTTATTTACTAACCTTGATGAAGTAAAATCTATTCCAGAAGGTGGAAGTTTTGATTTCAAAACTGATTTTTGTAAAGCCGACATTATTATTATTAATGACAAGTATTTACCTGTATTAGTTTGCACTCAAATTATGAATTGAACCACAATATATTTATAAAAAATTATAACACATTTTTTTAACAATAGTAAATAATATTTTGCCGATGCAGTCAATTATTGAGTTATCAATAATATATGGACATAATTACGTACTTAAATCTCAAATTGTTGGTTCCTAACTAATGTCGTCTCTTTCTCCAGTTAGTGTTAGACTATATATAATAATATATAGTGTGCGTAGTATCCACACCAGTATCCACAGTCTCGAGCTCAGATGTCCCCACTTGTGTACAACTGTTATTCACGAAGAATTTTCGTAAACGACATCAAGTTACAGTTCGACTCTGTCCCGGCTAAAGACTCTCTCCCTCCCGACAGGATTACTTCCTAAAGGTTCTCCTCTCGCCATAAGTAATTATTCCCCCATGCGCGTTCTGGATGCACAATAAAACACATAAGTTTCCGTATACATTTAAATCGCGCGTTAAATTTCTTGATTCTGATACGTCGTGCAAGATAGAGTAGGAGAATATCCAGAACCTTTATTCTAGATGTATCCTGGAACTTTTAGACAGACCGTAACTGTAACTGTAAGGATTAAGAGTCAACTTTTTTCTGGGAAAATTCACACTCATCATTAACTTAGCCAGGTTGTTGTTTCGTTGTTTCGGTGATGATTTTCAGATGATTCTGAAGTTGAGTGACATTTATAATACTAAAGTTAGCCGACGTTTTTAGTTTTTTTTTTTTTTTATTTATTTATTAAATTAGAATTAAAAAAAATTTTTTTAAATTGCACTTATAGTTTTTCAAATTTTTTACAAATTAAAATTTTTTTTTATTTTTATGATGATAAATACAGTAGATATTTAATAATTTTTAGAATTTTTTTAACAAATAAATTATGGCAAAAAAAATATAAAAAAAATTGACACGTAGAAATTTTGGAAAATTAAAAATGCAATTTTTGAAAAATAATTTTTTGGAGCAAATTTTTTTTTTTTTTTTTTTAATTTTTAAATTCTCGAGTGACTGCTAACTTTAATGTCATTTTATTTTTTTATAGTAATTTTTTCAATAAAAAAAAAAATATTAAAAGTTTTGATATGTCGGCTAACTTAATTTTCATAGACATTTGATAATTTTTTATGAAAATTTATATAGCAGATATTTGACAATTTTGTTTATTAAAAAAATTTACAAATGCAAAGTGATTGCTAATTTTAATGTCATTAATTTTTTTTTAATTTTGTAACAAATTGTAGCAATAATAAAATTAAAAAAAAAAAATTTTACGAGTAGAAATATTGTAAAAAAAGATAAGTGCAATTTTTTAGAATTGATTTATTTTTTAAATAAAATTTTAATAAAGCAAAATGGCTGCGAATTATAATTTTCAGCATGGAATGAGGCATAAGTTTATTTTGACGTCCACTTTAATTATTTACTATATAATTATTTTATCCTCCACTTTGACAGTTCAATATCTTTGAGGTGGGAATCCAAAGTTCGAGTCAGTTCGAGCATAAAAATAAATAGTAAATAATGTCATTCGATCGTAATTTACCATCCCAGGCATTTTAGCAACTCTACCTCCAAGTATCAGTATACATCGCAGTAATTATTTCCAGTATCCCAAAAATTTTCGTATCTTGGACGAGATCTTCCTCAATTCTTTAAATAATGGACTAATGTCATGAAAATTAAGTTAGCCGATATCTAAAAATTTTTAGAATTTTTTTTATTGAAAAAAAAAAAAATGAAATTAAAAAAAATATTTTTTTTGTTCTAATTTAATAAATGAAAAAAAAAATCAAACAATTAAAAACGTCGGCTAACTTTAGTATTATACTAATGTCAATTTATTTTAATCACGGATGTTTATTTCTTAGTAATCTAATCTTCCTACTATCCATCCATTCACCCTGTTACACCTAGGTACTCATTAAATACAGAATCCATTAGTAATGTCAATATACATTGAAACAATGGTTCTCAGAGCACCTGACATTTAATCAGGAAGATCCGGGTTCAATTTTCGGCTTGTTACTGTGTCTTCATAATTTTTACGAAACAACCTTGACTTCTATCAAGTATAATTATATTTTATTTTCTATACTCAATACTCCAGAAAATATGACAAGGATCCTAATGTAATGTGCGTAATAAATTTGACACATGTGAGGTCAACAACTTATTTTATCACTTATTGAATTGTTCTTCTTATTAAGATTTTAAAGATTAAACTATTAATTATTTATTGTGATACAAGCGTATATAAGCTTATTTAAAAAAAATTACATCATTATTGGTAGTGTACCCCAAGATTTTTATTAATGTATTAATTATCTACAGATCGAATTTTACAATATTGTTTATATATTTCTACACAAGATGGTTCAAAATTCGGCCTTTTGTTTCATTCCGGAACCAACGGGTCCATGCCTTCTTTCCCAAACCATACGATGTTTTTGTTTCATAAAAGCATCTTTAACATCTGGCAGTGGCCCAAGATCAGAGTCTGTAATTCAATTATTATTAACTTCAATAAATGACTTCTTATGAACCGATAATTAAATTAATACGGAAAAAATATTACGTTTTGCACACCAATCTGCAGTTGCTTGTTCTACAGCTTCAAGGACACCGGCACATAATTTTTCACCATCTTCTTGATTGTAAAGAAGACAGTCTTCATATCTATTTCTTAAAATTGCGACGATTTCACTGTCAACCATTCTAAAAAATAAAAATAATAGTTTTATTTTTGTAATAGAAGAAATTTGGTGATAAAAAGAGTGAAATGGAAACAAGTAATTAGAGGATTTAGAGGAAACTTTCGAAAATGAGAATTCGCCCGATGAAGCACGGGGCACGGGTACATTGTATGTATGGATCCGTGCCCCGTGCCTCGTCGGGCAAATTATCACACTCGAAACTTTCTGGTCCTTATGCGATATAACAATTATTTTTACTGATGAAAATTAAACTAATAATAATAATAATTGAGAACTCCAAAAATAATAAAATTATTGTCAGTAAATTGAAGGAATTTAAAACCACATACATTGGTTAATATACCCTCTTTTTTCCTATATACATTAATAATGTATAATTTATAATATTATTAATTTTTTGTATATTGCCAATTGGCGTTTGAACTTTAAATATATAAAATTGATCAACTACTTTAAAGTAAAGAACTACACAAAATATTTATGATACTGAAATTGAGATGAAACTAAAATTAACCGACAGCGAAAAATTTTTATTTTTAACTTCCCGCTAAAAATCTCAGATTTTCAAAAATCGGGAAGTTATTGTTTTCACCCCGTTTTACAAAAATCGAGTTTTCATCAGATCTCGACGTTACAGGAAGGTCACAGGAAGCTTCCCTGACTATTTTTACGATGATGTCCGTATGTCTGTATGTATGTGTGTGTGTGTGTTTTTTTTTTTCCCTTTAGGGTGGGGAATCCTTTTTACGGATTCTAGGCATAGATGTTGGCCCGGATATGTGGCGACTCGACGCAGCGTCATACTAAAATTTGACGCTGACGCCCCTACCCACTAAACCCTAAATCCCTTTCTCTTCTATCCTCTGATCGTCCATGGTACCGCCGTAAGGCATTTCTTCGCGGGGGGAGGAATTAGCTGTCGCTCTTCCTTCTGGTGGCTAAGATGTTTTCTTCCTTCTAGGTTCTGTCTTTTGCTCTTTTGTGTGTGTGTGTGTGTGTGTAAACCTCTTGTAACTTCTGAACGGCTTGACCGATTTGATCGCGGTTGGCGCCATTCGAAAGGGCTTGCCCAAACTTAGATTTCCTGAAAATTTGAACCGATTCAGACCAGTAGATTTCGAGAAAATGCAAAAAAAGTGAAAAAAAAAGTTGTTTTTTTTTTAATTTTTTTTAAATATCTCCGAATTGGCTGAACCGATCGGTCTCAAAAACTAATCAGCTCTTAACCTTGAAAATCCCCATCGATCGCCACCAATCGGTTGATGCGTTCGTGAGATATCGTTGTCGAAAAAAATCGAAAAAAGTGTTTTTTTGTAATAACTTCGAAATTCATGGCTCGATCGATTTAAAGTTGAAAATTTTTCATGGAGCTTCAAAAACTGCGTCGATTGCCGCCAACCGCGTGAAAATCGGTTCATTCATTCAAAAGTTATAGCAGTTTGAAAATTGAATAAATCGTGTTTTATCAAATTTTGATAAGACTTTTGAGCTCGAAGAGCCCAAAATCTCAAAACAGCTACTTTTTTATAGAGCTCAAAAAACTACATCGATTGCCGCCAACCACCTGAAAATTGGTTCATTCATTCAAAAGTTATTGCCGTTTGAAAATTCAAAAAATTGTGTCTTTAAACTGCTATTAGAGTTTTGAGCTCGAAGAGCTCAAATTGACACAAAAACAATATTTTTGAGCTCGAAGAGCTCAAAAACGTAATGTGTAGTTTGAAGCGTTTAAGTACAAAATGAGCGGGAAGTTGCAGGGATGGCCTTTAGGGTGAACCGTTTTTCTAATTTTTTTTTTTTATTCATTGGATTAGAAATAAAAAAATATTTTTAAAAATTGCACGTGTAGTTTTTGAAAATTTTTCATGGAGCTTTAGAAACTACATCGATTGCCGCCAACCACCTGAAAAATTGGTTCATTCATTCAAAAGTTATTGCCGTTTGAAAATTCAAAAAATTGTGTCTTTAAACTGCTATTAGAGTTTTGAGCTCGAAGAGCTCAAATTGACACAAAAACAATATTTTTGAGCTCGAAGAGCTCAAAAACGTAATGTGTAGTTTGAAGCGTTTAAGTACAAAATGAGCGGGAAGTTGCAGGGATGGCCTTTAGGGTGAACCGTTTTTCTAATTTTTTTTTTTATTCATTGGATTAGAAATAAAAAAATATTTTTAAAAATTGCACGTGTAGTTTTTCAAATTTTTAACATGTGGAATTTTTTCCTTTAATTTTTTTGTAATAATTTTATTAATAAAAAAAATTCTGTCAATTGTCAGATGTCTGCTAATTTTATTTTCATAAATTAAGACTTCTGATAATTTTTAGAATATTTTTAACAAATAAATTATAGCAAGAAAAATTTATTTAAAAAATTCAATCTTTGGAAGCTCTATAAAATTATAAATGAGCTTTTTTAAAAATGATTTTCAATACTTAGTTTATTTTTAAAGAAAAATAAAAAAATTCTCAAGTATTTGCTAACTTCAGTGTCATAAATATTTAAGGAGAAATATAAAATAAATGCTGGAGAAATTAATTTAATAAGTAATTAGTTAATAGTTTGAGGATAAAATTAATTCATTACCTGTCTTTTTGGTATTGTACATTAGCTTCATATTGACAGACGAAATCATCAGTATAACATTCATCAATGGTAGGTACTCGTCTATATACTCGATGATACCAGGGATACACTTTTCTATTAGGCTCAACAATTGTTTCTAAAAAAAATTAACGAAATTTAGTTTTTTAGAATAATAACTCACACAAAATGAAAAAAAAAAAAAAATTGATCATCTCAAGTAAGTCAATAAATAAAAAAAGAAAAAAAAATTTAATTTTGGCACCAGTAAAACTTAACCTAGTGAATGTAAATGATTAGATAATCACCTCGGAACCAAACGACAGGTGTTTCGAGAATATTTGAAACAGCATCAGCGAATCTGAACAAAAAAGCCTCCTTTTTTTCGCCCATTATTAATTAATAAATTAATTTAAACTCAATTTAACAATGTTAATTTGTTTAATAAAACACTATGGATATTGTTGTATATCCGAGGAGCTGATCGCAACGCTCCCTATGAATAATATCAGAAATTTTAATAATAATAATAGAGATGGTCTTGAAAAATATTTTTTCAAATTTTAAAATTGTATTATCTCTCAACATTTTTTAATTTTATTTAACAAACAAATTTGTTCTAAAAAATTTGCATTTTTAATTTTTTCTAAATTTCTATATGTCAATTTATTTTTCTAATTTTTTTTTTGCACCAATTTATTTCTTAAAAAAATTCTAAAATTGACATGTAGAAATGAAAAATGCAATTTTTTAAAAATAATTTTTGGGAACAAATTTTTTTGTTAAATAAAATTAAAAATCATCCAGTGACTGCTAAATCCAATGTTGGGTATAAGGTTTTTTGTCCAAAAAAATATTAAATAAAAAAAAAATTGAGATTATTTTGAATGATGAAGTAAAAATTTTTCTTTAACTGAGAAAATATTTTTAGTTCAAATGAAAATTTGTTTTTATAAATTTGCTAAATATTTCAATTATGTGTCATCAATTAAGTTCAATAACTGAATTTAACAATTCCTAATTTAATCTGAAATCTAAATAATTACTTTGTAATTTCAGTTTCTGCTTCGAGATCAGTAAACGTTAATTAAAACTTAATCTATCGTCAATGTGTTTTAAATATCTAAATTTTTTTTAGATTTAAACTAAGTTTAATTTAAGCAAGTAAATAAATAATCTATAAATCAAAAAATAAATTGTTGACTTTACATGTATCAAATTTTATTACACCACATTAGTTTACAAATTATTTATTTTTTTGTTACAATAAAAATTTTTTCAATGTAAAGATAATTTATTCTCTCCAAAATTGTTTCATTCTATAAACAATTATTAAATTTTTTTGTTTATAATTATTTTATTATTATAAATAAGAGATCTTTTCAGCTTACGTATAATCGATAAATTAAGCTACATAATAAAAACTCAACAGATGATTGAATTACCGAATTGTAGTTAAAATTACACTAAAATGATTGATAATGCAAATAATAATTGTTATAATAATGACTAATAGTATTAAAGAAGTCAAGATACTTAGATTATTCGAAATGCCAAAAATAATTTATTCGGTTTATCGTTGACTTATATCAATTAGCAGTATAATGAAGAGGTGATAACAAATCGACGATCATGGCATTTGTATAATCATTTAAACCTGAGTTCTTTTTACAATTAATACACATTTATGTTATCAATATTTTTTATGTTTTTCGTAATTTGATTATTTTGCACATCAAATGCTCGATTTTATATACATCGATTAATTATTAATAAAATATTATTCAAAGAATATTCATTTTTTTTTATCGATAAAATTCAAAAACTTTGGATACACTTACTGTATTTAATCCTACAATTACTTTACATCAATAAATTTATTTTTCATTTTAATTTATATTTATAAATAATTATGAAAAATAGGAGGAAATTATTTATAATTAATTAATTAATTAGATTTACAACTTACATACACAGTCAGTACTCATACACTCACTATCAATAAAAGTTAGTATTTAAAAATCTTGGATCGTTAATCATTGTAATTATGATTAAAGATTTAAACTGTAAAATTTTACATTTGTGTGTTTTTTATTCTTATAATACTTGAGAGATAAACATTAAAAAATGTTTCTCTGTTAATTAAGAAACATGACATGTGCATTTATAATACATAAATTATGGAAAACATTTTACTTATAACCAACAGATATAATAAACGACTGGTATCAATGATTGTTCTAAATGAAATACTTAATCATTGTAATTATGATTAAAGATTTAAACTGTAAAATTTTACATTTGTGTGTTTTTTATTCTTATAATACTTGAGAGATAAACATTAAAAAATGTTTCTCTGTTAATTAAGAAACATGACATGTGCATTTATAATACATAAATTATGGAAAACATTTTACTTATAACCAACAGATATAATAAACGACTGGTATCAATGATTGTTCTAAATGAAATACTAATATTTATATTCCAAAAAACATAAGGATCATCTCTCAAATATTTATGATAAAACCAACGGTATTACTATTAAAAAAATATTAGATAATTACCGGAAAAATATTTAAAAAATATCAATAATAAATAATAATAGTAAAATAATAAATAATGAATAGAAGTTATGTTAGTTTTATCACAAAGTTATTTAAATAATTCAACAATGAAAAATTAATCACCTATGAATTCTACTATCGATTTAAGTAATTACAATTATACAAATAATATCTACAATATTATATTATTTTATTTAATTGTTACTTTTATCACAGCCTCGGAAAATGCTCTGCGATACCAATGAGAGAGAGATGTGTATTTTCATTATTTATAAAAAACCTAAAATAGTATTATTATTAACTTGCAAAATACTTATTGTGATATTAATATTTTCGTTAAAATAATACGATCCATATAATAATAATAATAATAATAATTATTATTATTTAATTAATTATTCTGATTAATTGATTAATATTTTAATCAGTTTAACTAATAAAAATGAATGCTTCAATAAAGCATCTGTATTTCATGAATCGATGGGTTGATTAAATTGAGCTGCAAGTTTACTAGTTCGTTTACCTGTTGCCTTTTTTTTTGGTGTACTGTCATGAATGTGTGAAATTTCGCTCTCCATTGTGTTATGCGACGGTTCGCTCTCAGAAGATGTGTTATTAGAACGATTTGGGCTCAAAATATCAAGTGAATTGCCAAGGTTACGTGGTTCTATTTTATCTTCACTTTTCCTGGAAGATTCTGAAAATAGATTGTGCTTCGGAACCAGCGATAGCGAAGGAAGTGGCAGTTCAGATGGATGAGGAGCCGTTATCATGTGATTAGGGTAAAACGAATTCAGAGGATCGGCTGCAGCAGATAAAAGATTTTTCGCGGGAGACAGCAGATTTGTAGGATCGTCTTCTTCATCGTGAACCCACTCAGGTAGCGTTAACGGTGGTAAGTTGACATTCGTTGAATAAGTATTCGGAATATAGCGAGGTGGTGATGACCACACTCCAGACTCACCGTTACTGTCATCATGATTGATAGAATCTGACAGCCCAGTCTTGTTACCCATGGGTATGTTGTCCATAAACGTCGACGATGTGCGTGAGACAACATTTTTAAGAAACGTTTCACCGTTTTCATCAATAATTGGCCACTGATCAGAGTGTTTTGATCCTGAAGTTGCTGCTTGACTCCATTTATTATCGTCATTCAGGCTGCTCCAAGTTTTCTGGAGAGTATTTTCAGCCCACGCGCTCAGTCTTGATGACACAGACCCGTAGTTTAATTGAGATAATTGAGTTCGTGTAGCAGGTTCATTATTAGATTCTTGGTCACTGTTCGGAGATGTTAGTTGTGGTGGTATCGGAATTCCTACTGTTTCTAATTGTTTGTTTAAAAATACTATTTTCTTTTTAGTACGAGTTTCTTTGATTGTAACGGTGCATGGCAGCGCTTGAAGAAGAGCATTTAACGACGAAAATCCATAGTGTGTTGCTTTGAATTCATTGTCAGTGACATTTGAGTAAGCACTTTCAATCAGTTCGAGGTTTAATTTACCACGATGTTTCATTAAAACACGATACAGATTGCAGGCAAAACATTGGAGAGCTGTTAGCCCGATAAATTCTTCATTATTTACAGTTATAAATTCAACTATATCTTTTAAATCATTTTTAATTTCGCTAAGATCACAAGGTACTCCGAAATACTTTTCGTAGATACGACGGAATTCATGGACAGGTAAACGCTGTTGACATTGATCCATTAAAATTCTACGGCACTTCAATCCCAAAAATTGCGAGTGAGATTTATCTGCCCGAATAACTGTTGGTCCATCTGGTGATTGTATAATTTGTACCAAGTTGCTGAGTTTACCCAACAGTTTTTCTAAAGAACGACAATCGTATAATTCTGGATTAAGTAGATAGCCGAATTGACGTGAGTAAGCTTGTCCAACTTTGGACAGCAATAATCCATTTGGATATTTAGATATTAATTTATTAATTTGTTCTCCCAAAATACGTAAACGTTCTGGCTCAGTTAAAGTAATAAGTTTTTCGCCATCAGGAACATCCTTAATCTGAATAACGTGGGGAATAGCTTCAAACAACTCGATCAATTTAGTGAATCCATAATCTGAAACACGACATTGATGACCAAAATGATGATGATAAGATGGGACGAATTTATTAAACTGCATCGTGCAATGTGGGCTGTGTCCAAGCAATTCAATAGCATCCAAACTAAATTGTTTTGTTCGCTCTTTTTCTTCAGCTGTTTGATCTCTTTTAGGCATCGCAATCACTTTGTCACCGTCAACTTCACTCACGGCGACTGTATATTCAGAAACTTCATTTAGTATGTCACCTATTTCACAAACTCCATAATCAACTGGATCCCATTGTTTGCCCATCACACGGCTATACACAGCTGGAAAATCCATGAGTGTTACTTGTTTGCTTGCCTGAGCTTTTAAAACACGTAGAAGATCAGCAGTGAAACGACGTACTTGGGCGCGATGTGACAGAGTTACTGCTCTTTTATTTCCCTCGCCCATCACCTGAATAGTACCAGGTAAAGCTTCCAGCAGATCAATTAATTTCGTAAAGCCATAATCTGCAACTCTACACTGTCGTCCAAAATGATGATGATAAGCTGGAATGAATTTGTTGAAAATAATCTGGCAGTGTGGCGCAGTTTTCAATAGATCAACCAACTCTCGACTGAACAACATCAGCGGATTATATAGAGCCGGACTAGCACATCTGATTTCTTCATGGAAATCAACATTTTTATCTTTAGCCCAAATTATATATTTAATGTTATTGTTTACTTGTTTAATCTCTACGAAATTCAGGCAAGAGATTAAATGCTCGAGTGGTACTCCATTCTCAGTAGTTTTTAGAGTTTCATTAAACTCGGCTTCGTAGCAAAAGGTTAAAGTCAGCAATGGCAGATTTCCGTTGTGCGTAATTAGAAGTTTCTCAATATGTAATCCTAATAATTTCAACGACATCATTACGTTTGGTAAAGACTCAATCTCTTGCTCAGCCCATCCTTTGTCAGAACCTGGTTTTTGGTAGTGTGTATGGCAGTACGGTAATTCCATAGCAGCACGCTGAAAAAAAAATAAACGAAAATAAATCAAATTTATCCATCAAATAAATTAATTAAAAAGTAATGACTAATAATTAATCAGTATAATCGCTTGGTATATGATCATTATTAAAGATCAAAAGGAATTGAATAATTAACTCAACTTTAGATACTTTAATTTATACTCGGCTTAACATGTCATCATTGTCATTTTATAAGTATGTTTAGATAAGTAAAATTAAATTAAATTAAAAAAAAAAAAAAAAAAAAAAAAACATTACCTGAGATATATTTTCGATGCAAGGTGATGGTGAATTTCGGAATTCTGGATTTAGAGCCACCATGCGTCCGCTTTTATCATCAATTACATTACAGACGTCCTTCATTTTATAAAGTTCAGACACAGAAAGAGGCATTAAAAATCGGTTTTCATACATTTCACGAAATTTAAATAGTGGTAATTGGTACCCCGGTACTTCTAGAAGCAGCATTATTATTTGCGAACGTACTATTTGTGGATTAGTACCGCTAGTATGTCCATATGACATTAATATTCTCTTAAATCCAATTTTACGGCGATGAAGTTGTGATATGGCATACTGTACATCTGACAACGATCCAAGTTTAACATTTATCGCGTAATTACCGTCTGACTGCATGAAAACACCAATATGTTCAACGCGCACGTGTTCAGAAAACATCGAGTGTAATATACGACACATTGTTTTGGCTTCGATATTTTGATCTAAATTAGTAACTTGAATATCTATCGGGCCATTATTACTAGTACTGTTACTGCAATTACTACCGGAAGTATTACTGGGATGGTTAATCGGATTAAAGAACTTATCATTATCTTTCGTTGGATCGCTGTTGTTTGGATAAGGTGATACAATTGTTTGTCTATTAGACACGTGCGCAGATAGATTTTTATACGGAGAAGGCGTTCGTGCTGAGCGACGTGTCTTTGGATAGTTTTGACCATTATTACTATGATATCCACTGTCTAAATTCCTCGGATGATTCGGCAATGGACTGATACGCTTCGGATTATTGCTATGTAAATAATTTTGTTTATACGCCGATGGTCCGGCTGATTGAAAAGAATTCGGACGCGTTAAACTATTTGAATCTTGAGTAGAGTTGTTCATGGAACTATGAGAACGATTACGACGTGATGTATCTGATTCGTGGCTAGTAGAGTCTACTCCGATATTATCTTGATTCAGTACTGAAGTTCCAGGTCTGCCGTAGTCTTTTTGTTGCCGTTTCATTGATACAAAATCTTCCCAACGGCCGTACTGGTGTTGGTTTGGATTATTCCAAATTAATGGTGACGGTCCACGATTCATGTCTGCGTACTGTCGATTGTACGAATCTCCATTTCCTGGGTGTGTACGCCCTAGTATTGGTCCCGTTAGAGTCCTTGAAAAAAAAAAAAAAAAAAAAAAAAAAAAATATTGAGAAATATTATTCAAAAATTGCTCAGTAAACAGTTAAAGAAAATAAACAGTTAAAAATAAATTGAGGATTAAATGTTCCATCAGATAAGATCAAACGCTGGTCATTATTCGAATCTTCGAGGATTTATAAAATCAACTCGTGACTCAAGAACTCAGATCTCGGTTTCACGTCATTTGGAATGGAAAAAATAAAAATAATTTTGATGTTCAGGGGATAGAAAAAAATTATTTAAGTAATTTACCCGGAATTGAATGAGTGAGCACCGTTCCAGCCGGCAAATGCCCCGACAACAGGCGACGATGAATTATATTGAGGCGTCCCTGGAAGACTACGGACACTGGGAATGTTTGCGTTTGGATGATACATTGGTAATGGTGAACTAACAGCAGCTCCGTTTGCTAAAACAGTGATTAGGTTGACCAAGTTATTTTTTTCTATAAACCAAAGCATTAAAATAAATTTAAAAAAAAAAATCAAACAATAGAAACAGAAGAGAATTTTTCTTGTGTAAACATTGGAATTACTCATATTCAATAGCTTTGCTTGTTGTCTTACCTTCAAATGTTAGGCTAGTATTATCCTTAAGTGAGGTCACCTTTATCGTAGAGCCAAATACATCAGTGCCATTCATACGCTGTTGAGCTCTAATGGACAGAAAAAAATTAAGAATTAATAATTATAATATTATTAAAAATTAATATTGATAAAAATTTTTCAAAATTTTATAAAGTTATTATTTTTTAGTAAATTTGAAGACAAGAAAATTTTTCTGCGTCTATAAATAAATTGTTTTACACTCACTATTGAATAAATTAGTAACAATAACAAATAATTTAATAAAAAAATAAATATTAAAAATAAAACCGATTGTTTATAGACTTAGAGTCTTATTTTAAATAAACTAATTGGTGATTAATTTATAATTAAGATCACCACGCGATAAATACTTAAAAATAATACGTATATCTATGAACGTTGTCGTTAAACTGCTGGAGAAAATTATCAGAAGCTCGTATTTATAAAAAAAATCCCCCCACTTATTTATGACTTAGAAGAGTCATACTAAGTATTGGCCGATAAGGTATTTTTCTTGATAGCTAAATAGCGATTGCTGATAAATATACAAAAGTTGCGGTAATTTTAGGATAATTTAAAACATAAAATAAAATACCTTTTAGCCCAGTCTTGTTGTCCAAAGCGTACTATTGCTGCTCCTGAATTTACCATAAGTACCCGTCCACCGCAATTGTCTGATAATCGTTGAAGTCTATTTTTTACTGCTTGGAATCCTTTATCCGTCGGAAGATTGGTTACCAAAAGGTCAAACCTTTCGTCGTCCTAAAACAAAAAAAAAATTTATATATACATATATATTTTATGTATTATTAAAATAAAAAAAAAAATTACACAGTTTTTTATCAGCTAACTAAGAGAAATAAATAATAAATAATATACCTTAATATAATCATCAGGATGTCTACAGGGTATTCGTTCTATAAGATCTTTGAAATGATAATCCTCATTGGCACACTGAATAAGTGCTTTTGATGCAGAATTCTCATTATGGATAATTATAATGTGTATTTTTTTACGATGTCGCAAATCGCTTAAATCAGCTGCAAAATTAACATCACCCGATATTACAACAATTGTAGCTGCACTACCATGAGTATCAGCGAATCTCCGTATTGATTGTTTAAGTTTTTCATCAGCAGCATTTTTAAAAGTCGCCGGTACGTGCATCAAGCTTACCTATATTAATTCAGACAAATTATTAATAAAAATCAACTAATAAATGAATTGAATTGAATTGAATTGAATTTATTAATTTATGCCAAAGCCTTCACTGGCCAGATGGCAATAGAAAAATATACATTTTGTGAATACAATACATTTTTAAATTTTTTGATTTAAACATAATAATTATAACTTATATATAATTATACATAATAAGATATTAGAAGAAGTAATATTGCTTATATACTAATTTTGAAGAAACAATTTAAGTGAAAATGAAAACTAATAGATTACAATATTTATGATTATGATTTTAAAGATTTTAATTTTAATAATTTTAGTGATTTAATAGTTTTACTGTATTTAATAATTTAAAAAATTTTAAAGATTTAACTGAAAATTTATTTTAGATTTAGATGTCTAGATTAAAAAGGTAATCATAAAGCTTATTTTTAAAAATTTCTATACTGGGAGCATTTATCACATCATTTGGTAATTCTTCCCAAAGACGAATATGCAAGTAACTACAAATGATAATTCATAGATAGTTGTAGTAAATTTAGGTAACTTGAAATTTACATAATTCTTTTTTGCTGCTAGTCTTACAGAATGTCTAGTATCAATATCTTCAATAAATAGTTCTCGTAAGTAGCTAGGTTTGCTTATACTCAACAGTTTATAAAAATAACATGCTAAGTAGTACATTCGGCGGCTTTTTACTGATAGCCATCCAAGCTCTCGTCTATATGGTGAAATATGTTATCCTTTTTCAAATTATAAATAAAACGAATCGCTGTATTTAATGAGCGTTGTAATTTACAATTCTCATCAGCAGTACAACTAGTTAAATTAATACTATAGAACAATAATCGATAAGCGGTAATATAGTTGCTGAGACTAATAACCTCCTAATGTCTTTAGTATAGATGTTTTTTCTTATTTTTAAGAAAAAACATGCTAGTCTAGGACTGCTAGTCTAAAATAAAATAAAAACAATTAAAATACACTTCTATTAAATTATTTTTACTAAAAGAAATTTTTTTTTTGCAGTATTTATTTTTATGTAGTGTTTTATAAAACACAGAAAAACATAAGAGTATAAATCATCATATACATTGAATAAAAGCGATTTTTTATTTTAACAGGCTGAACTAAATAGAATAAAAAAAAATACATTATTAAAAAAATTTCGACGAAATAACCAAAAAACAGTTAATAATAATAAATCATTTTATTTTACTTTTAAGGATGTTTCTAGAAGCTGAATTAAGCAGCAATGAAGAAAGCACATTTGTCAACAATGATTCTCTGCAGTACTTCTCGAATGGATCCATCAACGGTGACTATATTTTTGATCGGATCGACATCAAAATTATATTCATCACTCTCTATTCCATCGTCTTTTTCTTTTGTTTTTTCGGTGAGTAGATAAATACAATTTTGAACAATATTTACAATGTAAAATTTTGCTAAAGATGATTCTATAATTGCTCTGCACAAGATTTTAATACATCATGAAAAATAAATAGTGACAAAATTTTTAGATTTTTACTGACATTTTTATTGCATTAATTTTTCCTTGTTCCTATAGGTGATACTTTTCATTAACAATAATTAATTGATTCAATTGTATTTGCGCAAACGCTTAAGATTTGTAGATTTAGTAAATACTTTCGCAAATATTTAGTTGTACTGTCTAAAAAAACCGGAGTAAGTGTAGGTGTTAGAATTTTCGGCGTTGATATATTTTGTCATGTTTAGAAATTCTTTTTTCATAATTTTACTCACTGAATCACGAAAATTTTAATAAATTTATTAACGATTAACTAGAAAAACTTGTATACGGTAAAAAGTTTTGGGAATAAATGCGAACCCATTTCATTTACAACTGATTGGGTTCGATTGGTCAAGTACGAGAAAAACCAAGAAATGGTCTCACTCGAAAAACCGAGTTCAACTAGTGTAATCAAAATTACTCTTGGGTTAACATAATCAAAAGCTTTAGTTAGATCAAATAGGATAATAATAGTTAGCTTGTTTTCATCCATAGAACGCCTAATATCATCTATAAGTTTTAGTAAGGCTGATTGAGTGCTATGATGTTTCCTAAACCCTGATTGATATTTATCAAGCAGCTCATTATCTTCTAAGTAGCTTATTACCTGATTTTCAATGATTCTCTCAAAGACCTTGCTCAGATGAGATGTATTAGCTATTGGGCGCGTATCTGATAATGATTTTGGGGGAGTTACTTTATTGATGGGTATTATAAATATTGCTTTCCATGTATGAGGGAAAACTCCAGTGTCTAATGACCGATTAAAAAGTGCTGTAAGAAAGATTGTAATTTGAGGTACGTGATTTTTTAATCATCTCAGATTAAGTCCATCTGGACTATTCCCTTTAGATTTTTGAAGAGTCAAGTGTAGAGCTTTAGTCACATCAACTATATCTATTTCAATCCAAGTAAAAGAAGAATTTACTTTACTTTTATGTAATTGGAAAAGTGAATTTACAAATTGTTGGTCGCATGCTGGATGTCGACGTACCATGGCTGCAAAATGTTCGTTTAAGTCAGACGGTTCAAAATGATTTAGAGGAGAAGATGTAGTACGTTTTACAAGGCCTAGGTGTTTTAGCTTACTCCAAATTTGAGTTCCGTAAGATAGATTGGACAGCGAGTTTTTTAAATAGTTTTCACGAGTACGACTTATTTCGTGTTTCAGCTCTTTCCTCATTCTTTTAAAAAGTTGAAAAAGATCCGTATCGTTATGTCTTTTTGCTCTTTTATAAACCGCATCACGTTCTCTAAATTTAATTTTTAATTCTTTAGTAAACCATGGATTAAGCGAACGAAAGACTGTACGCGAGTATAATGGTCCAAACTCATCGAGGACATTTATAACATTGGTTAGAAAAATATCAAGTAGAGAATTTGGATCGAACTCATTCAGAGAGTCTCTTCCTATATTTAATGACAGCATAAGAGTTTAAATGATAAGTTTAAAGAGTATTAAAAAAAATTACCTGCGCATCATTCAATTCTTGTATAACTTGTTTACTTTCTTTGTTAACATCACACACAACAATAAATTCCGCTTCACGATAACCTTTAAAAAATTTATCTCTTATTATTTGCACTATGCTGGATGCTGATTTGCCTCTCGGTACTCGAACATTTTCAATGTCCCAAAATACTCCGATGGGTGACATATAATGTTGGAGTAATTGCGGGTTACTAGGGCTTCCATGGTGATGGAATTGGCTGAAGTCATTTTTGCAGTGAAATGCTCCAGGTGGTGATTCGGAGTAGCTTACAATCTGATTATTTTTTTCTTCTATTTTAGAAGATAAACTACTGTCTGGTAGTTGTCGAAGCTGCTTACTCTCTATTATTCTAGAGATCGTTGTTTTTACTGATTGAATAAGCTGCTCATTTCGACAATCAATATCAATTGTATCGTCTTTTAAAACAGTCTCTTTTTCCCAATAATTCGTCGCCATGTGATTTTTTTTTCAGCTGAACTTTTCATCCCACTACATAACCAAAAAGTAAACAAATACGTTTAATGTATATTGAAAGGTACAAAATATTTTTTATTTGTCTAATAAATTAATTTAATACACAGCAGAATAACTTTATATTAGAAAAACAGCTGTGACTTACCTGTTTGTCAATTTATTAAAATAAAAAAATTTTCGAATCCAATATATTATATTTTTCGTCAAATAGTTAAAACATAAACAATATGAGGTCATATATTTATTTGAATTTTAATTTGCATTTTTTAGACCATTGTAACATAGGAGAAGAACATGTAGATAAGTTCATGCTCAGATATTAAAATAGTAGAATGCAGCCTCCACAAGGCATCTAAAATTTTTTTTTTCACTCTAACAAATTTGTTTGGTAATGTATAAAATAGTGTATATATACTGTATATCCATTCAATTTACATATTTTACTACTCCATATTGTTATTGAGAATACTAGCGCTCTCTGTAATTGGTCGATTCAAATAGTTTTGTGTACTAAAATTACAGATGGAGATAACATACAACCGCTGACAAAGAAGAAAAATATATTTTCAATATTTTTAAAATATAACATGTGAGTTAGAGAGAGAGAAAAAAAAGAATCATAACCTGATATACTTGAAATAAAGATAGTTTTAAAGAATAAAAAATAAAAATAACAAGTGTCAATAAATATATAAATAATTATGTTAATAAATCGATTGAGTTCTCTGACCTGTCAGTTAACTAGGAGATCCTTGTTACAAAGGTAACAAAAATATTTTTAGTTTTAATGTTTATTACAAATCTTTACTTTACTGTCTGGTTTTTAGGGTAATTTTTAGAAGTAGTACTCAGTCAACACAAATTAAAAATAAGAAGCGCGACGATGACGATGATGCTGATGATGATAGATCCCAGCCGATTCCATATTCAACATCACCTGCAGCGGAATGGCTGGCTCAATTCAGTCAACAAGGTGGCAGAAAAGATGAACCTTGGTATCAACCATACATTTGTCTTGTTAGTTCTTTTACATTTTTTATATACTTTGTCTATCTAAGAGAAGCTAATGATTATGACGAACTATTAGATAGAGAACTGGGCGATCACTTTCCTGATCTTAAAGAAGCTGATATTAGAAGAAAACTTCCCCCAGAGGTTGTTGATAAAAAAATTTAATAATCTAGATTATTGTCTATTTAAATAAATTAAGTTCTCTACTATTAATATAACTTGAAAGTTTGTTTTATTTGTTTACAATGGGTAAAGCAATTCTCCCCAGAAAACATTTCTAACAATCATTTTCCATTCGATTGGTGGATTGTGATTTACTGTATCAGGAATGCAATGGACCCAAGTATCTAACCAAGATGAACGGACAGTTGTCATCATCAGTGTTGATGATCTATCTTCGTGGATTGACTTTAATGATATTTTTACTGAACCTATTCAGTAGCATAAGCATAAAATAATTTTATTAAGTAAAATTTATTAAGGTAGAAATAAATTATATACTCACTGTGAACGCATCGCGAATTAAACAGCCAACATAGAAGTGTATAAATAGGAAGTACTTGAAAATAAAATTTTAATTTTGTCAGAAATCCACCGAAACCAATGATGATTATCCGTAACTAAAAAAAATATTTAATTTAATAATTTTTTTTTTTTTATTTATAATTATAGCTTAATTTTTTGACTCAATAAAAATAATTACTGTTGTAAATACGGTGTAGTAAACCCAAGTAGTTGGCATCAGAAATAGTAAAATAGTGAAGAGAAGTGTACCAACAAAAAGTTGATCAGCTTGGTACTGACATGAATCGACTCTCTCTCTCAGTGGATTTTTTTTCTTGCCAAGAAAAAGCCGAAATAATGCTGTTAAGCCTCGAATTTGTATATTAAAGAGTCTAAAATTTAAATAAATAAATAAATTATTCATTTTTATAAAAATATTTTTTGTCACCCAAAGATTACCTCGCAGCGTAAACGTAGATGCAGTAAGCATGAAAACTAACGAGAGCTAAAATATCAGCAGCGATGGCTATTTGAAAAGTAATACCAAGTCTTCCAAATAACATAAGAACTTCAAAGAAAAAATCCATTACTGGTTTTATGGAAACTAAAAATGTCCACCAAAACTGAATGTGATAAAGGAAAAATTTTCCGAGCATTTTGTTGAATGAGTAATTTAGTTTGAGACCAGCTGGAGCTCCCATTAACCAGTGAACTAAGTTTTTCAGAGTATCAACGGCTTTCTAAACAAAAAAATATATTTAGTAAATAATTATTAGACTATATATATTTATTGTTGATAATTACCTCAGCATTATTGAGTAAAACATGCGAAGGTCTGTCATCGATATTTTGTAATATAAATCTAATTAAAAATACCCCTAATAAAATATCTAATGTTATTGCGACAATAGGATTTAATGTCTTTAACGAAAATTTTTTGTCTTGAATAATTGTCATTAAAATCCATTTTGTATTCTCCAGCCACCCATTAAGATGTAATCCAAGCGTTGAGTATTTCAGAATTGGCAACAATTTGTTTGTTACTTTGGACAAAAACAGTACTGGATACAAAAATATCCAACTTAAGTAAATGAGTAATGTCTCCTTACAGTTCACTAAATAATTTATTTTCTTGACTTTATCCTCTCTTATTTTTTTTTCCAAAATATCTTTCAAGTCCAAAAAATGATTACCAGGTAAATTCTGTGTCCTGAACAATTCAGATTTTATCAAAGCTTTTTGATCATAATTTATTATTACTGTATGATAGCTGAACTTGTCAACTGTCTTAGTATCTACTATCACATTTTTAACACTGTAGTACAAAGTGTCATTCGTACTACCCGGTTTTAGAGTAATTTCTATCCAGTCGTTTATTCGCAGTCGGCGTGAAGTATTTTCTGCAGCAGAGTAATATCCGATTAATTCAGAGTTTGATTCTTGTGAATCATTCGTGCAAATACTTATTACATAAAATTTTTTACTGTCGCTGTCATGATCATAGAGTACTTTTCCATTAATGTAACCACTTTTTTCATATGAAAAATTATTTGGGATGAATACTAATAACGATTTCATTTTGTTAGAAATAATTATTTTACATTTTTCTTTTTATACTAATTAATCCAATTATTACAGCTTATTTAATCACATGTAAATTATTTAAAACTTCTTGATATTTATTTTTAAAATTCGTTCTTTATTGATATTTTATCTGTTTATTTTTTGAAATTGTTTTTATTACAATTTATATTTTTCATCACAATAATTTAAGTGACAATTTATGTTATCAAGTAAAACTTCCAACAAAACAATAATTTCATTTTTTCTGCAAAGTGAAAAATTTTAGTTAATTATTTATAAATAAAAACAGGTAGACATTTTTTTAATGATACTGAAGTTAGCTGTCAATTTTAAAAATTTTTATTTATAACAAATCAATTTTGAAAATGAAGTTTGCCGACATTTTTAAATTTTTAGAAATTTTTTATTGAAAAAATTTCAATTAAACAATTAAAAAAAAAAAATTGTCACATGTAAAAAACTTGAAAAACTATAAGTGCAATTTTTTAGAAATATCTTTTTAGCTGTAATTTAATTAATAAAAAAAATCAAAAATTTTTAGACGTCTGCTAACTTCAGTGTCATAATCAATTATAATAAAAAAAATGCTCCTAAAAATTTTCACTTGTAATTTTTATTAATTTTCACATGTGGAATTTTTTAATTAAATTTTTTTTTTATAATAATTTAATTGTCATCAAATTCTAAAAAAATTTTTAATTTCTCTCAACTTCAGTATCATTTTTCTACGGTAAAAACAAAAGCTAACCTACAAATAAATGTTACAGAATTAAAAAAAAAAAAAAAAACAATTCAAACAAGTGTATGTAATTGTAATTACCATTAATTACTATTATTATTATTATTATTTTAACCAACAATAAATAACATTATATTGACAACAAGTTTGACCAGTATTGAAATATTTGACTAACAATTCCTGAAATGTTTACAAGCGATCAGCTGATTTTAAACAGTGAAGGAAACAGCAGCATGGAGGGCACTCGTGCATAAGTGACACGTATGTAAATATATCTACGTTTAATAGACTCAGTATGCTAGTTAATTAATCTAATTGGTAATCCGGTCATTTACAATGCTTCTTTTTTATCTGAATACTTATGTAAAATCGATAAAATAATAAAAATAAGGATTTATAAAATATATTGGATATACAAACGATGCGTCAAATAGAAAAAAAAAAGTAGCTATGAGTATATGTAAGTACAAGTAAGTGTCCAGATCTCGGTTTAATGCTAACGGATAATGATTGCTGAGACGAAAAGTGAAGAGTCGACGAAAAATGTTGATGAAACGATTCCGGTCACACAAGAAGACACGAGAACTAATAATTCAGGAAGTTACGACGTGGCAAATGATATGCTGCAAAAGGTTACTAGTCCGCTGATAGAAGAAAAAATCGCCAGTAAAATGTTTTCATGCTCACGTGAAACTGTATGTTTGTTTCTTGTTTTAATGGGTCTCACTTTTGCTGCACTCCATAATGCGTAAGTTTATTATTATTATTTGTTCTCTATTTATATTTATCATGTCAGAATTTTAAATACTCACTAACCAATTTGAATTATAGACCACCGAAAATTTCAAAATCACCACCTGCTAGACCATTCTTCAATGAAAGCTCTATAGTGATTGATTTTTATAAGGGTCAATTAAATGCTATGATTGAAAAAGCCTCTGACTCGGATGTCTGTTTTATTATGTATTACGCACCATGGGATGCTGAATCTCAGACTATAAGACAAGAGTTTGAACGTGTTGCACACTATTATCATTCACAAGTGTTTTTCGCTGCGATTAATTGCTGGCATCCTGGGTCAGAGTGTAGACAGCAGTATAATAAAATACAAAGTTATCCAGTGTTATTTCTTTATCCTCTTCGAGGGTCTGGAATCCAATACCGAGGCATAAATGAAGCTCCGTATATCATGCGATTTCTTGATGCTTTTTTAAATCCTATTCATAGGATATCGCGACAAAAAGAGCTGATGGATCTTCTTCTCAGCCACGAGGTACTTTTTTTAATTTAAAATACACCCAAATTATTATTACTGATGAATTTAATGCATTTTTTAGTCAGTTATGGTTGGATTCTTCGAATTCAAAGGACTCACTGTGAGTCCTGGATACAAAGAGTTTTATAAAACGGCTATACGTGCTTTGGAAAAAGATCCTAACAGAGATACAGCGTTTGCTGTGGTTACAGATCCTCAGACAGCTTCTAAAAACTTTTATATTGAATATACACCTGCAATAGTTTTGTATTTATGGAATGAATCACTTGTAAGTTCTAATAATTATTTTCTTACTTTAATTAATACTAGTTGTGAAAACTGCAATGCGACTGATAAATATAACAACTATTTAATTTTAATCTTGATAGTAAAATGCTTATCGTGTGTGCTGAAGATTTTTTAATAATATTTTTTTGTTCTCTTTAAGTAAATATGCACATAATACCTTCATTCAACAAACATATTTTTATAAGTACATACAAATTAGAGTCATGTCTATTACATAACATCTTCTATAACATATAATTAATAATATGTAGAACAATATTTAAAAAAAGAAAGTTAAATGTACTTGACACTTTCTTTTATTCAAAATAGCTTTTCAGTATACACTTTACATTTTTATCTTTTGTAGTTTTCTACTAAAGAATTTCAAAACTTAATTTTACATTTAAACATTGAACTTGAAAATACATGTTTATTAATATAAAAAAAAAAGTATTCACTCACATCTTAAACTAATACTGTTTATTAATTTATTTAAATTATAGATTTATCCTCAAGACAAATTATGGACAGTAAATAATATTATTCGTTGGAAAGATGAATACCAACACCGTGTTTCTGCTTGGCTTCAGCCACCTGGAGTTAAATCAAAAATGCTTTCACCTTATTTTAAAGATAATCCAGTGCTAGTTCTTTTTACTCCACGAAACCCATTACAATCTTCCAATTATCACAAAGACTTGGTAAATTTTTTTTCATTCAATATTTTATGTTTTTATCTTTAAAATTAACACAATTTATTGATTTCAGATAAGAGAAGTAGCGTTGGAATATAATAACTGTGACGATTCATTTCAAACCAATCGATTACTCGAGCATTTACGTAAAAAACGCAAACACGCCAAAGATAAACACCGTTTAAAAATCGATCAATGCTCCCAATTATTAGCTGAATCCAAGCTACAACCAACTGTCCCGTCAGTTAGTATTTCCATTCAACAGTGGATCAATGAAAGCTGTTGCGCCCAGATCTTTATGAATAAATGTTTGTTGTGTATAGACGATTCTTCTGATGGTAAAGTTTGTTATGTCGACAGTCAGCGATCTAAGATATGTGAAAAAAAAGATATATTAAAGATTATTACTAAAAAAGAGAGTACGGAAGAAGAAAATTTGTGCTGTAATAATTACTCTCGTACGACTGAAATTCCTGATGAAATGAGTAAAATAAAGTAAGTAAATGATACTCCATTTTATTAAGTTATTTATTTATTTATCGCGATAGTGAACTCCTCAAGTAAATCAGATATTTTATTTGTAGGGGTGATTATAAAACTTCCATGATTATTCCGGAAAATGATCCACGATCAGCAATTGCAGTACGAAGGCACGCTATTGAATATGATTGCATTAAATTCCTCGCTGGTGATAAATATCATTACGCAATATTTCCAGATGAATCAGATCAAAAGTCTGATGTTAAATTAACTGAATCAGTGTGCAATGTAAATAGGACACTTGCATTTATAGTTGTAGATAGTTTACAATACTTTCATTTTGGTGAGGGACTTGGGATTGATGTTTTAAAAATGAGAGACAAGACTGCTGCTGTTATTTTAGATACATTGGTAAGTTTAATTTTTTTATTAATTGATAGAAAGAGTATTTATGTATATAAATAAAGATTAAGATACTTAATAATGTTATTAAAATTTTCAGCACGAGAGCCAGTACCTGATGCAACATACTTTAAGTAAAAATAATCTAATTAAATTTATAAATAATTATACGACTGGATCATTACAACGAACGTTGAGAGTAGATAGTTCAAAACGTCACGCAGAAGACTTTAAAAAAAAGTCTAAGTGTAAAAATAAAGCATCAACGATCTGTGTTGAAGAATTAGACACTGATACATTTTTACCGACTGTATTAGATGAAACAAAAGACGTCGTAGTGATGTATCACTCGCCTTATTGTGCATTTTGCAGTGCAATATATTATGTATATTTAACAGTAGCCCATTTATTATCAAATGTGGACCAAATTATTTTGGTGCGCATCGACGGCGACAATAATGATCTTCCGTGGGAATACACAATGAATCGTTTTCCGTCAATCTTATTTTTTCCAGCTAAAAGAAAAGAAGACAGTACAATATTTTCATCAAATCTTCCAATAACAGTTCCTAATTTATTGTCATTTGTGTTAGCTAATTTGGAACGTGATACACATATCGAAGCTTTATTGAATATATGTCATATTGGCGCCGGTGAGTCTCCGGAAAAATGTGTTTCAAGGATTCGTCGTTATTGCCTTGACACTATCCAAAATTATCTTCATACTTATCGTATACTTTTGCGACGATACCAGAGCAACGAGAACAAAAACAATAACAGCAGCAGCAGCAGCAGCAGCAGCAGCAGCAAACAAGACATTTTATATAAAACGGAAGTGGGTAAAAAACGACGTGAAATACTTTTTAAATTAGAACACGTCAGAGATGTACATCTTTTACTGAGTAGCATTCAGGATTTAAAAAATGAAGAGGACAAATATAAAATTCTGTTGAAAAAATTCCGTACTTATCGTAATGATTTATTGTCAATGGAAAGACGATCAAAAAAATCTAACAAACGTAAGAATGACGATGATGTTGTTAATAAGGGAGATAGAGAGGAGAGAATAGTCAAGGACGAGTTGTGATATCATTTAAATAATGATCCCACGCCTACATTACCATAGGATTTATCGTTGTCAAGTGTATTAAAGTGTACAGTAAAAAAAGTAAAGGTAAAAAGAGTTTTCATCAGTCATTAAAGATTGCTTAATTTATTTATGACAACTCTTTTAATAAACGCGGTCATCGCAAAGGTGTTTAACACTGTTGTTTGTACGTGTGTATATGCATTTTAATATTTGTATTTATATTGATATATATATATATATATATAAATATTATCATCATTTGTAAATATTGTTATAAAGTACAAAAATAAATTGATATTTTATCAATACAATAAACGATTAGTTATCTCTTACATAAACGTCAATATAAATAGATAATATTATTTTATTTTAAATTTTAATTGAATCAAATTATACACAATGTATTTAAATAAAATAAACAAAATCCATATAAAAAAAATAAGGTACGATAATAAAAGCAGCGTAGGTCGAAAATTGTGGATCAGAATAATCGCGTAATCTTTGTGTATTAGTCATATTCCCCCCATTCATCCGATTTATTTATTTATGGGCTGGATTACTTGACGTAATCAAATTCTCGGAAATATGATGCGCGATAAGAAAGTTCTTATAGGTGTATATACTTACTGTATATATATACGTATATCTCTATCATATCTATCTATATTTCATTCTCTTTTCAACAGCTTCCGGTATGTAAGCGCGGGGATTTCATCATTTGAATTATTAACGTGATTCATAAACTATATTCTCATCATCGGGGAAAAATAAAACCACAGGCTTGATATTTTATCAACATTTTAGCTAACGGTACTCCGGCCATGTATACTCTACTAATTAACAAATTCATTGCGGAGGACTTAACAATAGTGATAACAATAATAATATTAATTAGTTATAGATAAATATAATAAAATTAAGTTATTAAAGTAAAAATAACTACAATTATTTGATAATGATACGGAAAAATACTATAAATAAAATAATCAAAAATTTGAAGATAAAAATAATAAAAAAAGTTAATTACATTTATTTTTTGATAAAAAAGTAATAATTAAATAATTTTAAATATAATTATCCGTAAAAAAAAAAATGTATTTATATTTAAGAATTGATAGTCTAGTATAAATATTTAATTATTTACTTTAAATAAATATAAAAATGATCACAAATGTCCGGTAGTACTTCTGTACTTAGTGAAGAATATTTTATGAGGTTAGTGATATTAAACGAGACAGTTGGTAATTAAATAAGAACTTGGTAGACCTGAAATATGTCTTTGGTTTGTTAGCAGCGCCGCCGTCTTGAATTGAGGATCAGAATCAGATACCAGATAGGACAGTAGAATAGTTTGTTAGTTGTGTTGACTGTGAGAGAGTGTTCCTCCTTGGTGTTGTGTATTTGAGAAAGGCAAGCAGGCGACGAACGGAATCGTCGTGAGCTCGTGGTCGTGTTTCTCATGGTGTCGCTGGTGTACAGTATTATCATGTGTACGTAGTACACACATACCTATACTTTAATCGGTACCTATAAGTGTATCTAATACAGATAGTAGTTATGAGAGTATAGGTGTTTGTCAGTGTGATCATCGACAGTAAATATACATGTAGATAGTAACAACTATACACTGTTAGTGCTTCTGACAATGAGCGGCTACGGTGACTGTGATAAGTGAACCTCCGCCGCGTAAACCTCTCGCCTGCTGCTGCTGCTGGTTGCTGTGTTGCTGCAACAAAAACTGTGCAGTGGAGAAGATAATAAATAATAATAATAAAATAGTATTGTTATTATATATATATATTGAAATAATAATTATTTATTAAAGAAACCAGGGGCGGGTGCGAGTTAATACATTAATGACTCGTATTTTATGATAAATAACCGTGAGGTGGACCGCAAACAACACCAGACGTTATTTTATTATAATTATGTTCAATGTACCGCCCAAGTTCTACGAGCTGTGTCGTCTTTGTTTATCGTCGGACGGTGTCAAGTTGCCCATATTCGAGGATGAAGGCGCCCAGCGTAATTTTCCAGATAAAATATTGGCGTGTTTGTCGATAGCGGTAAGCCGATCACCCGATCACCCGGTCCTCTTGTTTATTTTATTTATTTATAATTATGTTATGATAGTCCTTATGTGATTACTTCATTTTAACTACTATTATTATTATTGTTATACCAGATTATTTTTAATTAATTAGCTTATATGGATATATCTGTTATAATATACATGTGCATTAAATATACATATATGTATAGATGCTGGGCTGTATTGTGTTTAAAGTGTGGTGAGTGTTGAGACGACTCATCGAAAATAGACGCAGAGACGCAACATCTGGGCCCCCGCGGGTCGGGACCTCGCGCTCTCTCGCGCACACAAAAGCTATCCTCTGTGTGTATGCGTAAATGTGCATATATAGATAGAGGTTTGTGTGTGTGTGTGTGTGTGTGTGCTGGCACACGGGGAGAAAGTTTGGCAAGAGATGTGTCCGCGAGATAACAGGCTATGGCGATTTAAAATGGCAGTGATAAGCAGCTCCATGCCTTCTCATGCTGCTATTACTGGTTCATACTCCAGCTAATGCTCCATACTACTCCGTTCTGGTGCTACTGTTACTCAGTTACACTACTTAACTGTTAACTACACTATGTACTGTACATAACATTTGTTAAGAGAGTTTACTTGTTCATGAACAAGTTTAGTTTACAAGATCACGATTACCTATAACATCTTCTGTCCTTTTCTTTTCTGTACTCTTTATTCGTCTAGAATAAGGAGTATTTATTTGTAAGTGTGTGTCAGCTTCTCTGTCTATTTGGTCTTGTCTTTTATTGCCGCTGTCTCAGTACATATAGACTTGCTGTAGATAGGTATGTACGTACGTACTTACTTACTTACTTACTTACTTACTTACTTACTACTGTACTGTTCTGATGAAAACGACTGAAGAGACCGATCTCTTTTCGTATCACGGCTCTCCCGCAACGGCACACACGCGTTCGAGGGATTGATCTCCTTATTTGGATCGCCCTCTTATCAGGTTTCACACGCGGACACTGCGGCAACTCTTGTCAGCCACCGGGCGTCCAGTTTTCCCTTGTGTGTACTGTTCACATAGCTTTTGCTTTTTTACTCAATATGACTAACAAAAAAAAAAAAAAAAGAAAAAAAAATACACTATTACCAGGTCTCTTGGGACCTACTTTAACTTACAATCATCTTGATATCATTTATCAATCAGAGTGATCCTAGTTTTAGCTTTTTTGTCTCTGTCATTTCTTTGTTCCCACGTGAGTGAGATGAAAGATGGGAATGAGAAATAAAAAAACTGATTCTAATGATGATTAATACTTTTATTATTATTATTATTATTATTATTTTTATTTATTTTTATTACATATATGTATATAAATATATATTATTATTTTTAGGTAAAAGATGGAGACTCACTACCACCAATCATATGTCACAGATGTGTTTACAAATTAGATGTTTTACACAATTTTCGTGAAGTATCACGAAAATCAGACGTTATACTCAAACAGTACCTGGATTATGCCAAGCAATTGTCATCACCTGACAATGAGGTACTATATTATTATCCTTAAATATTAATATTTATTTATTTACTCAAGCAATAATATATACTAATATAATATATATATATCAGTTTTATAATTGATATGTATTATTATTATTATTATTATTATTATCATTATTGCATCACAAAGACAACCCAATATATATATATGCTGACATTGATGAACATTCTTACTGTTATAAGTGTATGTTGAAACGGAGAATGTGCAACATATGCAATATCTGATTGTAGATAAGGCTACAGTCATGTACACTGCCTTTTATTTCTTCTATATCTGTTCGTGAATATCGTAGTAGCAATTATATAAAACTCAATGTCAGTGTCTAGAGGGGAGTTTGCCAGTTATTTATAAATTACTATCACTTGGTTAAATTTTATCATTTGTGTGTTAATTTATATTTATATATTAAATTATATGTACATTATTTATATTTGTTATCTATTATCTTAAGTTATTAATAATGTTTACTTAGTTGTTTAACAATATAATTATATATTTACAGGATAAGTCTATCTCCACTGCCAAAATAGCCGATTTGAGTCCTCTACAATCGTTTTTACAATTAAATAAAACGCTATTTAGTGATGAGCCAAATTCACCCGCCAGCATTAATCAAAATGTGATACCTCAGACGCAAACGCACCATTTAGAATTGCGAGCTAATGAAATGATGAAGCAGGATAGTAATGTTAAATGTGAACCAGAAGACGACACATATTCAAATAGTTCTGATCCAGATAGACTGGAAATTGAAGACCGCGAAGACCATGAGACAGACGGTGAGGAAAATGGCTATGACATGACTGTGAGAAAACGAGGGAGAGTGGATAGCAGTAATAATGAAAGTAGTTCGAAACGCAGTTCACCAAATCCAAGTCCGGTTAACAGGATGGATACACCCGAGAGTAATTGTTCGGAAACACACATCGATCAGGAAACAACAAAATTATGGCAAGCATTAGCAAAGTAAGAGAAAAAGAAAAAATTGCAATGAATTTAAGAGAGATACATACATATTTTAATATATTGTTTTTTATTATAAAGTAATAATTGTTGAGGAAATGATTAACTGTAGCTTGATGATAAGATTTACTTATTATGTGATGTCATTTTTATGTCTCATGTATCCATTGGTAGTTACTACAGTTAATACATCTGACCATTTGATGGTGTACGCTAAAAATAGGCATGAACATAAATCAAGATTGAATAATAATGAGTATTGCAAAAAGTGATATCACTCCCATCATCATTGTCATCTTATCTTAAACAATAATGCATGCAATTTTTTTTTTTTTTAATTTCAAGAATTTTATTTCTACGACAAAAAACATAGACACACTTTAAGAGTATGTTTATGTTAATATCTGTTATTATTTATAATTATCTATAATGTAATTTTTTATATTTGTCAACAGCAATCGAAATTTAGAGATAACACGAAGTAATGGTGACAAAGTCAATAATGGTTTCACTGGTGAAGCTACAAATTTACTACGTTCTCTTATCAACAATCGACAGATTGGTATCACCGCCGTAGATACAGGTAGAATATCGCCACAAGTAAGGTTTTACCGAGATACCCAAGGGACGACAATTGAACGAACAGATTGTTCAATTCGTGGAAACCGTCCTATGCAGTCTCTCGAAAATAAAGTAAGTTGTATTTTTACCTGATAGTATAGCTTTAGTAAAAGTATTTGTAATAGGAGAAGTAGTAGTAATAGTATTAGTTTAAGCATTAGTGTTAGTATTAGTACATTTAATCATGGTAAATATTATCTTTTTTTAACCGTTTACTAAAGTGAGACAACAAAAATCTCGTCGGTATAATTCCGACTAGAAGTGACTTCTACATTTTTTCGTGTTTTGTATTCTTTTTTATTTTATCTTAAATTTACTCTTTCTCTAGTCTCTATCTCTGGTAAAATTTTATTTAGTCGAAGACTTAAAGTCTACTCGACTCGACAAACGATGGTGAATACATACAATGTAGAGGAAGCGAATAGTATACGATATGGTATATGCAGTTTACTCGATGCAAATACCTATCCGAGAACTCAGGTATATAACGAAGCAGGTCAGGTGACCCTCGGGTGTTAAAGAATCCCTTTTGGGGTCTCAGTACTATACAGTTTTATACTATTCAAGTCCCACCTGCCTCTTCAGGTAAGGGGAGGTCTGCGAGCGGCCTCGCCAGATAATAGATAACTTAGAAAGGCGCTTTGTGATAGGCAGTTTTGAGTTCGGTACCTACCGGACCTATACTAGCATGTCAACCCGCTGTTAACAGATGTTCAGATAAGCCCTGCTGCCTCAATGGATTTTAAGCAAGTCTTTGTTGAATGTAATGCCCAGAATCGTGTAGAATTTTTCTTTATCTTCTACTTCTTCTTCTTCTTCTTCTTCTTCTTCTTCTCCTTCTCCTTTTTCTATTTTTCTCAAAACTAAAGTTTCGTAAAGATTCTGTGCAAAGCTAGTATATTCATGTTTAGTAAAAGTAGAGTCTGCTTTGTTAAAATTTTTCCATTACACTGAATTCTCTTCCGATAATGGCCGTAACGAATAAGCTGGTATACACTAGTCTTGGATGTAGTTTTTTCTAAAATATATACCTGCCATTTGTCGGTACCACGCCAACTACTTCTTCTCTCGAATGAAAAATCACTCACTTATGACCATTTGGATGTCATTTAACTTTGCGATACATCAATCATTTATTTTTTCTTTTCTTTTTTTATTACAGAGTGCATCTATGGATAGTAATCCGTCCAGTCCGGCGAGTGTCGGGCGTAAAGAAACAAAGGGCAGAAGGAAACAAAGTTACCCAAGTAAAGCACCGACCAGTCCTGATGTTTTAAGTTATCATCATGAATCCGAAGAACAAGCGCAGGATTTTACTTCATGGAATAAAATAACTGATAAGGTGATTAATTGATTTTCTTTTTCCTAAAATTAATTTTAAATTATCATTATTATTGATGATGATAATTTTATTCTCGTAATTTAAATTAAAGATCGATGAACAACGTCAGTCGTTTGATCAACAAGCCAGTAATATGACAAAAAAAGTCGACATGTCGTGTACAAATTGTGGTACCATGACGACGACTATTTGGCGTCGTAATATGAAGGGTGAAATGGTTTGCAATGCCTGTGGACTTTATTACAAACTTCACGGTGTAAACAGACCGGTAACCATGCGAAGGGACACAATACATACTCGTAGACGCAGACCTAAAGGCGAAAAACCTACGAGGCATCGAAGTGAGAATCCTATTTATACTGTTATTACTTTAACGCTCAATTAATTTTAGTTTTTATTTTTTTCTTTTTTCTTTCAATACTTTTTCTACATTGTACATTGTGTAAATTTAGAAAAGAAAAATTACGAATGATTAATTATCGTGAATTTTACTTTTATTCATTTTGGTTTTTTTTTTTTTTTTTTTTCTTCATGTAGAAAAAGAATCAGCCACACCTGCTTTACAATCAGAACAAATGGACGCCGAGAGTGCTGACATGCTGGCAGCTTTACGCCGGCAAATTCAGCCGCATTTGATGATGGCTGCATTGAGACCGCAAAATTTGTCGGGTGCACATCCACCAGCGTCTGCAGCAGCAGCTCAACTTAATTACCCTCTACCACTATCAACTTACATGATGCACGTGAGTACGCCGCACATGTATTCAGTAGATCTAGTTAGTCGCGTGACACGTGATGGTACTACCGGTGGTGGTACAAAAGCAAGTGACGTCATAAACTTTGCGCAGCGTATGAAAACTGAGCCGAGAGAACGTAGTAGTACGTCGGATGACGCTGACGACGGTGATGAAGATAATGTTTCCGATGTACCATTGAACCTAGTAGCAACTTCATTATCAGAAGAGGCACACTGATAACAGCAAGCTCTGCTGACAGCAGCTTAATAATTATCTATTCCAACAACGCTGGTACTCACTACCGTTTATTATTATTGTTATTATTATCATTACATATTAATGATAATAAATGATTAATTGATGAATCAAGAATCTCATACTTAAAAGGATTAACAACACAAGCAGCAACAAAATGATCTGATGGTAACACAGTGTGTTACAATTTACTTTATTTATATCTTTAATTGGCCTCTCTTAAATTTTAAACATCTAATTAGCTCTCTTATTTGATATTTATGTATGTTAAATGCCTTTACATATCGTTTTGTTATTGTTTTTAACTCCAAAATGCTCTCTACGCTTTGGATTTCTCAAGGTTTTTATTTTTGAGAAATTTTAAAATGGTATTATATTATTAATTATTATTATTATTATTATTCTAATATTATATTATTAATTATTATTATTGTGTATCAAGAGACGGATAAAATTATTCACGTGTTAATTAATAACACAGACGTTTTTCACCGTCTTAATCACCTGATTCCGAGTTAATTGGCCCGTGGTAAGAAGCGCCCAGTTATTGTTATTAATTAACGAATTAATAATAATAGATTATTGATATTAAAATTACAGTATTATACTCGTCGAATATTAAAGTCGCGGTGAATATTATAAATATACCAATTTATAATATTTATATTTTTATAATAAACTTTTCTATGGACTAGTGTTTGCAATTAAAAATCATATAAACACGCGCGCAAATGATCAAAGTAATTGATATTATTAAAAATTTATGAATTTATAGTGGCCTTTTAAAAATTCATTTTAATATTATATTTTTAAAAAACTTAAATAAATAGATAAATGTGTTATTTTTAGTAGATCTTTTGATCTGATATAAATTTACTGATTGAGCAAATTTTATATTTACGTAATATAAAAAAAAGAACAAAGTAATAAAGTTATTTACTATTATTATATACAGTATAATGTCGAAGAGATTTAAAAACTTTCGTTTTTATCCACGGGCTATTTAGCTGAGCTATTATTAATTAATGTATATTGTCAACCAACATAATACTCTTATTTAAAAAAAAAAAAAAAAAAAAAACGTCGTTATGTATTGAATTTATTTTAATTTCAATTTCATTCATAATTAGTGATTTAATGACTCGTTTTTCAGTTTGAAAAATAATGATACTTGTAAATCAAAGTAATTAATATTTAAAAAAAAATTTGTAAATTATTTGACAATACTCACATTTTTTTTCAATTAATTTATTTGCATACTTTAAATTGTATTAATTCAGCTTAAATAATATGGAGAATTTACTTATGTATAATTTTTAGGCTGTAAGAAAAAGGAATGAAAAATAATAATTTTTATACGCTAAATTTTTACGAATACGCTAGTGTTAATACTATGAAAAAAGATGAAAAATATTTTTTATTTAATAAATGTTTTAAAATAACATCACTACATGATAAATCATTTGCGAGACAAATGTCAAAGCTAAATATTTTATTTACTGTACTTAAGAAAATATTTACATGCATCAGCGTTATTTGCGCTGCATTGCTATACTCATCGCTAAGCAATAATTATCCATGACACGGTTCAATAGAAACCTAATGATACTTACAAAAAATGAATAATAATAAATAATTTACAAATGATAATAATGTAATAAGTATGGCCAGATAAAATGCAGGAATTAAAATAATAATCGCTTTATACTCTGGAAGTAATTAATAAATTTAAAAATAATCTACTTCCGTCAATCCTCGATTTAATCAATATTAATTATCATTCGTCAATTGTCCTCTTGCTTTTAAATTTAATTATTATTTTATTACATACTACTACTTTTCTTAAATTTTTATGTACAGTTTACAATGATACCCACGTTTTTTATTTTATGTTTTTGTTGAAATAGTACATTAACTGGAAAAAAAAAAAAAAAAAAAGAAAAAAACTATGGCCAGTGCATTTACACTCACGTATTGTTATAATTATTACGTCATATACCTAAATAACTTTGCCAAAAATAGATTTAGTCTCTTTGTAACATAGATATAGTTAAGGGCATCAAATTTTCTTCCATTTAAATGTTACTTTTTTTTTTTTAACTATTAAAAAATTACTTTGAGGACAATTGAGTTGGATAACTGAAATATTGACTAAAAAATGAAAGTAATTAACAGATAGACGGAATAAATTTAGTAGTAGTTGTTATCCATTGAGCCTTATAAACAAAAAAAAAAAAGTAAAATATGTTTATATATTCTATATGTATAAATTTCTAATTGAAAGAAAAAATTTTTCTAAATAATTAAAAAAAAAAACATGATAGTATGATAAATCTTAATGCAGCCACGAGGAATGCATGACTAAAACAAAGTCAATGATAATAATGATAATAAATAATGAAGTGAGACATGAATTTGATAATGGATTTTTTTGTTTTTAAAAGTAAAATTATTGTAAAAAAAAATCCATTACTCTTTCGACTCGCGTAAAATGTGATTCTTCCGTTGTGCACTTCCTATTTTATAAAATATATTTAAAAAAAAAAAAATAAATGAATTATTCAATCGGATCACTTAAGACACTCGTAACAATTTTTATAAACTGAGATTAATATTTTAAAAAATACAGGATATTTTATAAAATAATAATTATACGATATTTTAAAATGATATAAACTGTTATAAATGAATCGACAACCGCGGCTTTTTTTTTTTTTTATTTTATATTGCACGATACAAAGACCAAATGGCTATTTATGTGTGACTTTGCAAAGAATGGACAGTTATTTTGCTAGGCATTTCATTAATATTAATAATTTTTTTTTGTTTTCAATTATTTTATAATTTAATTTAATTGAGATTTTCTGTCTGTAGATTTCGCTCATATTAGTTTGTTATACTGTAGTATTTACTATGCGATTATTACAATTATTTTGAAAATTTTCTTAAGCTTTTAAGTTTAAATAATTAATAATAATTAGGTTTGAGCTCTCTAACTAATGCTGAAAATATTTAGAGATTATTTTTTATATATTTAATAACGTATCATTAATCGATTGAGTATTGTTAATTTTTATTAGTTATTACTATTATTTTATTGATATTATTAATTATAGTAAAAAAAAAAAAGAAAACAAACAACAGTTACAGTAATAACAAGAGATTGTAATTAATTATTATTTTATAAGGATTAACTGTGCAGAATCGCCTAGATTTGTTTGATATAAAATTTGGCTATTTTTTTTAGCGGAGGCTTCTAATAGATTTTTTTTTACATCAGTATTCCACACCTTTTAGTTACTAAGTTTTTATTTGAAACAATACTTAAATGAATTAATTTACTTAATTTTATTTATCTAATTAATTAATTAATTATTATTATCATAGTTTTTTTTTACATCTGTTTTTACAGTCCCTCCGTTTTATTGTAATAATAATTATTTTTTATTATTATTTAAACGATCATATGTAACTTATTTGTGTCTGTTCGCACCAACATTTGGCAGCAGCGACTGGCTTAATTTATTATTATACATTATATATTTTTTTCTAATTAAATACGAATCTCATTTCATTGTACGTATATTTAAATCATTTATGTCAACATCAATTTTGTCAAATTTTATTAGAAATAAAAATATTAAATTTATATACAACCAATGTTATATGACATCAATTTGAACTTGTAAGAAATAAAAGTATGACGAGTGTATGTATTTTTTCCGTTCCGCAAAGCAACTGTACAGTTTATATTGTATACTTAAAGATGACTAAAATTAAATTATAATATTAATATTATATTTGTACATTCAATTGTTGAAAAATTTGTAAAAAAAAAAAAAAAAAAAAAAAAAGTCGAATGCTTTGTAATAAATATTTAGAACTGCTCATGCAAGTGTTCCGTCCGTCTACGCGAACTCATGCGTTCGATTTTTTTTAAAACTCAGATAATTTGCATCTATTAAAAACTCGTAAATAAATAAATGCGTAGACAATATATTTACAAATATTTATGTAATATACGAGAACGATATTGATATTGAAGATAAAAGAAATAAAAAAAAAAATACACGCTTTTTTCAGCGATTTACTCCTCCTGAATAATGTTATGCGCAAGTATTAATTAATCCGAACTAATTGACTGAGTATTATTTTTATAAATCAAACTTGTAATAAAAATAATTTAAAATGCGGCACAGTGATTAAATTGTGTCAGAAAAAAAAAAAAAAAAAAACAAAATAGAATTTTTTAAAATATTGAGCGCTCCCAAATCTCTTGTATTAATAAATAATATTAATTAATGAATTTAAAATACTGCGAGTGCCCATGTATTTTGTATACAAATAAATAAAAAAAATACAATAATAATTGATAAAGTAATAATTGCTGTTGTACACAGTCTTTATTGTATTAAACAAAATAGTAATTAGTGATTAATACGCTATGGTTAAATAAGCAATAGAGAAAAAAAATTACTTTTGTATTCACAAATCGCTAAAGTACATTTGAAAATTTATATGATTAATTATATTGATAATTAAGGAGAAAAATATGACGAGTTAATTTGGGCTAAGGCCAGCGCTGTTGAGATTATCGAAGGTTGTGCGTATCGTTATAAGTATTTTGAATTTAAATTGTTGAATAATAGTATAAGCGGGTAAAATAGAACTAAAAAAATTTACCTAATTGTTTTTAATTGGTAAATTAATCGATTAAACAATCAATAGATCCCTGACGTCGCCGTTTACATTTTTTTTTATTTAATAACTTAATTATTTTCTTACTTTATTTATAACGTTATTCACTTTTAATTCGTCATAATATCAGCCCCGTAATGAAATTATTATTACTATTAATATTATTATTAATTATCATTAATATTATTAATTTTATTTATTAATATTAAGGCGACAAATAGCGAATACATCTCCCCGATGTTTAATTTATTTATAATGTACAATCTTCGAAATATAATTACAAAAAAAAATTATTTCAGTATACTTAATAATGATAAATTGTATATTTTATAAAAAATAATTAATTTTTACATCACATTTTGAATTTTTTCAATTATTCTTATTGAAGGTAATTATAATAATGTATTTTTTGTTGGCGAAAAAAAATTGTAAGTAAATACAAATTGTTGTATAATTATAAAAATTGATAATTTTTTATAAAAATGGGGAGAATTATTTGCTGGGGCATTGTTGTGATACCAATGCAGCTTAATTAAATCTCGAATAAAAAAAAAACTAAAATAATTATTCTTTATTATTTATAACATATCCAATTAATTTTCTTAATTTTAAAACCCACTAAAAAGTATTGACTAAAAAGTCAAACTAACAAATAAAACATTCGAAATATCTAGATTATTTAAAAACACTGAAGTTGATAGACATTGAAATTTTTTTTTAATTTTAGATGTGAAAATTAAAAAATATTATTCGTGGAATTTTTTGAAAACATTTTCTTTTTTATCAACTAGATTTGTTATAAAAATTTAAAAGAGGGACAGTCATTTAACTGCAGTATCAAGATTATTTATTATGAAACTGAAATCACTAGACATCTGAAAATTTTTGAAATTTTTATAACAAATTAATTATGTTTAAAAAAATAATTAAAAAAGTCTTATATTTTTTTTCTACATGTAGAATTTCTTTTATAATAATTTAATTATTATAAAAATCAAAAAAATTGTTGTCTATTAATTTCAGTATTATTATTTATTAAGTACTCAAGTTTTGCACGACTCATGATGCGAAGCATCAGAGAGTGCTTTACGATCGAAAAATTTTTTTCGCCTCATTTTGGCAGCTATTTTTATTATTATAGCCTTGTTAGTTCACGGAATCAAGATATTTTGCATCCTGTTGTCGAGATAATTTAATGGAGATTAATTCCATACTTTTTAAAAATTGATTTACTGCAATAGAAACGAAAAAAAATATCAAAATAGGTCAAAAA